TACTTACTTTTTCTTAGCTGCACCTTCAAATGGAGCCTTCCTTTCTTCCTCCACGATACAGAGGCCCAAGTTACATCTTGACCTTTACGGAATGGGACCTCATTGCTACTTACAAATCTGTCTCCCCATCGCACTGAATCCCCAAAGGTAGCCACTTTATCCTATTAGTTTTAGGCCTGCTGCCCTGTCCTGTTGTCCAATTATTATCAGTAGAATAGGTGATCCTACAAAATCAAATGCCTACATGCACTGAAATTCCTAAGATGTGGTAGTGTAATATTTCTATAGTTCTTCAGGTAATGACTATAGCTTGATGTTAAGTCAAACCAAAAGAAAAAACAGGGATTTCTCCATGGTTCCATCACTATCAATCAGCAAAACACTCGGACTGTTCTTGAGTGTCATCTTCTGGCCAAACAGAGTAAAGCTCTTTGGTGAGGGAGGGGAAAAAAAAAAAGCATTAGTATTTACCAATGCTGAGATTTTACTAAGCAATGATTAAAAGGAACAGCCTACAATATAGATTTTTAGATCTCATACCTATCTGTAAATGAAATGCAAAATTGGAGCAATAATCCAAGTATAAAAATACTTCTTTTTTGAGGATGGGTAGCTATATTAAGTTACTGGGACTATTGGTGAATTTCTTCTCGTGCTCCTAGGGTCTTTTAATATGTGACGTGTTGACTAATACTGCACTCTTCCAACATATGAAAGTGGATTTCAAACGACACCATCACTTCTCCAGCTGCTACAAAGTTCTTGAGCTGGGGCCATATGTGACTCCCCTTTCTTCAGTCAACTTGGGTTAAGTCAACTCTTGCCAATGTTTCTTTCAGCACGTCATTCCCATCCCTCCAGCAAAAGGAGTCAGATTCAGTTCACAAGTTGCCTGCCTTGGAGCTAAGTAAGTTGGATTTCAGTTAATTAAGATTTATAGATGCACTCGTTTATGCAGTAAACATTAGTTGTGTGCTTCCCTACGTGTTAGGCCCTGCACATGGTTCTGGCTTCTCACCAGAACCAACCACGAAAAAACCTTATTAATTTAAACAAACTGGGAGAAAACTAAATCTGAATTACTCAACAATCTCCAAATTGTTGAAGAACAAGAAGCAAAAAACTCAAGTATTTCTGCCAAGTGCTTAATGAGTGGTAGGCAACAGCTGAGCAAGAGGAGTATTTGGAGACCAATTCTGATGATACAAACAAGAGTCCTTGGTAAACAGAACATCAGATATCTTTACGTACACAAATTTTAGCGCACCTGAAAATCATTTGCTTTTAAACAGCTTCTAGTCATCCACTTAAATTCTGCACAGTGTTAATACAGTCACTTGAGCTGTTCTTTTTAATCACTCAAAAATAGTAAATTTTTGCATGCCTTCTGTTAATTTATTACCCAATTTGGACTCAGATTGGTGCAAATGAGTGTTTGCTGCTGATCTTGGTCCCCTCTAGTTCTAGAACTTCTCTGTCCCCTCTGGCTACAACTTTGCCATATACCAGCTATGGGAACTTGGGAGTACACTGTCTCTGAGCACCTATCTCCTCACCTATAAAGTGGGGGTCAAAAATAACACCTGATGTATTATGAGGAATGCTCAGAGGACTACATGAGGTAAGGTACCTAGGATGAAAAGTATAGGGCCTGGCCTGTGTAAATGACCAATAAGTTGTGGAAACTGTCATTTATTCCAGACCTGTGCTCCCAATCTTGACAGCCTAAGCACACTGCCTTTTCTTCGGAATACTTTTCCTCCTTAGAGTTTCTATTTCATTCATTTGCCACTTTGCCATTTTTATTTATTAACAGTTATTTAGATGTGTCTTCTTGGTCTCCAAAACCATGATGTGACAGTATATTTTGGGGGGAGGGCTAGCCATATTTGACACATTGCTTGGGGCCACTCTGCTGTGCTCAGGGGTCCGTGCAAATGCTGGTGATCTGGTCCAACCAGAACCTACAAAAGCAAGGCATGACCTTCTGAATTATCTTTGACTTACATTCTTCTAATACCTAGCATGGTGCTTTGTTCCAGCAGGGCTAAGGAATAAGACAGCCAAGACACAAGAAGCAGCGTGTGTGTGTGTGTGTGTGTGTGTGTGTGTGTGTGTGTGTAAGAGAGAGAGAGAGAGAGAGAGAGAGAGAGAGTAGTGGTTGTAGATGGGGGAAGACCAGGCTTTAGATACCAGGATAGTGCCATGTCATAATAAAAACAGTAGAGGCAGGGAGAGGTCTGGCGTGATCAGGCACTTAGCACGTGGACTCTGAAAATTACAAACTTTGTCACTTTGATAAAGAGGTGGCCATGGGGACCACGGAGAGTTTGTGAAAAATTCTGACCTTAAAAAAAAGCACAACCTTTATTTATAGGGAGCCCAAAGTCATCTGGTGGGCTGCACTTCCAAAAGCATATCTCGGGACCCTTGTGCCATCTTTGATTCTGATGGAACAGTTCAACCATTGTAAGAAAATCAGGGCCAAGGGACAGCTTAAGCTGCAGTGGGCACACCTAGCAGATGGGAATCTCAGAGTTTGATTTGTGACCTTCCCAGCACCAGTGGGTTATCCCTGGAGACCCCTGGGCATCAAACTGTCATTTCTATATGATCAAACTGAGCCACCGGGATAGGGCCCTCTACCAATAATAATTAAAAGTAAAGAGAGTAACCCTCAGAGCCCAGAATGGAGGGAGAAAGATGAAGAGGTTCTGAAGTTATGTCTGAGCTTTGAAGGCTCTCTGCCATATTGGTGGATATTGGCCTGATTGAAACCAGCAGGTCCAAAAACTCTCCATCCATCCTTCATGAAGATAAAAGTATCTTTAAGGCAGTAATCTTTTCTCTAACTACTGTCCTAATATAGCCTCTCAATTTATTCTTCCTCTCTGGGACATGTGAAATCACTAATGCACGTATTTTTAGGAAAAAAAATAGGAACAGATCTAGTTAGAGATTTGGTGGCTGCACTAAAAAGATTAAGGTTTTTCCAATTTTCCATGAAAACAAAGAAATTCCAGCAGACTGACTTTCAAACAAAAACATGTTTGCAAAATATCTCTTTGGCAAGGCAGGTAGCACATGACCAATGACCAGAATAATTCATCCCTACCCCTAAAATTCCAGCAATTCAGCATTTAAACAAAGTAGCCTTTTATTTATATAAGCAAGCTTATAACTGATTTACCCAGCCCACAAGAAAGGCAGTGGTTTGCTTTTCTTCCCTGTCCTATTTCACAGGAGATAAGAAGAAGAGAAGGTGCTTCTGTAACAACAAGCTCCAAATCTACTGGGTGTACCAGGACAATCTCTGTCCTCAAGAGAGGACTTCATTGTCTATTAGCAGTTGTATGAACACATGAGTATCGTTTAAACATACAGCAAATGGAGGTGTCAAAAAAGGCAGCATTATGATACTAGGCAAGGAAGGCTCAGCTCAGGTTCATTTCTGCAAGCTGAAATGCTTATTAGCTACCATTTCTAAAGAGGGTGGGGGCATGCAAAGAGGCACTGAAACCATCTCCACTGGGTCGGTCAGCTGTGTGGCCAAGTACTGGAAGTAATTCAGCAGGTAGAGCCCTCCAATGTGAGTCACCTGGAGATTTTTTTTTCCTTTTTGGGTCACACCCAACAATGCACAGGGGTTACTCCTGGCCCATGCACTCAGGAATTACTGCTCAGGGGGCCATATGGGATGCTGGGAATCAAACCTGGGTGAGCTGCGTACAAGGAAAACGCCCCACCCACTGTGCTATTGCTCCAGCCCCATCACCTGGAAAGTTTTAATATTTATAATGTCTTCTAATCTTCCTAATAACATGGTTGAGGGCCAGACCACAATGACATCAGAATCATGTCTGAGGGCAGAGCCCAGGATTTAGCAGCTTTGAATCTGTTCAGATGATTTCTGTGTACAATCATTCTTGATATTCATGTGGCAGAGGGCTCAGAATGGCTGGGGAAAGACAGAAAAGGGGCTGTTGCACACCCCCAGAAAGAAGTGAATGGGGTGTGCACAGAACAGTCTGGCATAATCCTAAGATCTGGTGTGGGGATCTGAATCCACATGTCAGAATCAGATAAGTGAGTGGGACCCCTCTTTCCCTGTGACGGGTCGAGCCTGAGAGCCCCGGCATCACCTTGTCTTGGTCACACAGACCCTCCTTCCAAGTATCAGTCAATGAGATGCCATTAGATTCTCAATTCACGCAAATCAATCAACTCACATTCTAAAGGGAAGGATGTCAACACAGTGAAAGCTTATCTAATAGGAAGGAGCACAAAATTAATTTAGAAGGAAAGAAGACAAAAAACTCCTATGACCGATGTACTCAAGAACAGATGACTGGATAAAGAAGCAATGGTACATATATACAAGAGAATAGTATTTGGCAGTAAGAAAAGATAAAAAGTCATGCAGTTTGCTGCTCTGTGGATGGATCTGCTGAATGTTGAATGTTGAATGAAGTCAGAGAGAGGAACATGCACAGTATGGTAGTTCTTATTTGTGGGATATAAAGAAACTTTGTAAGGGAGTAACAAAGCCCGGAAGGTAATAGACAAAGGAAGAGCAGGAGAACTGTTCTACATCAGGGAGTTTGCCACCGGACTGGAGGTGGTAGGATAAATTAGGGAAGGACAATGGCGGAGGGGAAAGGAGCCTACCACAGAAGCAGGAAAGCAGGAGACACGAGGGAAACCGGGACATTGGTGGAGGGAAGTGGACACTAGTGAAGGGACTGGTGTTGGAACACTGTATACCTGAAACTTAATCATGAATAACTTTGTAATTCATGTAATTATGAATTACATAATTCATAATTCAAAAATTTTAAATTATTTTAAAAATTCTTTGAAAACAAGTGGAAGCATCCTTTTTGCTGGATTTTGAAGTCAATAAACTGCTCCATCCTACGGGGGAAAGAGTCCAAAGTGCAAACCTTTTCCCATTTCAGACATTCGAGACAGAAAGCCGTGTACACAGCGTGGCAACTTACTATCCAGGGGGCTCCGAAGAAACGTCCAGAGAGGGGCTGACCACGGAACTCTGCAAATGTGAAGGAAATAAAAATAGATGATGTATTCTGATTTAGATATTTCCAGCGGGGGTGAAGGGAGAGATCCCTCTCCTTTTCTAAGTCAGAGATGAGCCTCTGGGTGTTGGGGGTCCCTGGTGGGACGGGATCCGCGCTCCTGCTTTGGGAAGACTTGCAGGCAAGTGAGCTCCTGGCCTTTCCTTCCCAGTGAGCAACAGCTCTGGGGTGGGGGCTGCTGAGGGGATCCAGAGATGGTCTCTACCTTCTCTGAATCTTTGGCTGCACCCCCTTCCCGCCCCACCTCCACCCCCACCATGGAAAACCGATTGGCCGACATGCATTAATGGCAGATAGCACACCCTTCACCAGCTGGTCCGCAGCCCTCGCACCCTGCTGCCAAGCCCACCACACACTCCTGCACACACCCCAGGAGCCACACCCAGAGAGAGGGTTGCCAGACAGTTCAGTTTCAGAATGTGCAGAAATAAGCTTTTAAAGACACCTTCCCCTGACAGCCCAATGAGTTTAAGAGTCCTTGATTGTCCCCTGCAGCTTTAAAAAGTGTGTGTGTGTGGGGGGGGGATGGGGGGTGTCTCCCCACTCCGTGAAGTGCAGCTTCGCAAAACTTATTCATGATCATTTCAGTCTAAGAGTTGGGAACATTGTACAAAATTACAGGCTGCTGCACAGAAGGAAGAATACAATTAACCGCAAGCTTCATGCAGAGAGAAAAAAAAGCATCATAATCACCTAGATTAGGGCACTATGCTGTTTGTGAGGGTAGAAGGGAAAAAGGTTCGAGATGCCTGTTTTAGAAATAAGGTGTGAGTTTTCTAAATCCATATAAAAGCTAGCTTCAAATACACTCTTATCCCCGATAAAGACTACATCAAAGAAAATAGCTTTTGGAGAATAGATTCTTAGAGAAAGGAGTGAGACACAAACGCACATGCAGCCAGAGAGATAAAAGGCAGAGATGGTGGAAGGAGAGGGAAGGTGACCTTGAGCAGGGGTTCTGCCCCTCAACCTGCTGCATCTTTCATTTTCATGGGCACCTTTGTTCAGGTAAGAATGCAGCATCCCCATCCCTGCTCCAATGGCAGCTAAGAGGCAGTAATTTCCCTCGAGGTCACCCTTCCAGGTCCTGCACCTGCCCTGGCCTCCCATGTCCCTCCTCTTTAGCATGAGGCTCTTGCCTTTGACATCTGTCCCACAGGAGGGGGTGGGGGTGGTTCTCCACTCATTGGGAGGATGATGCCCCAGTCTCCACCTGACTCTAATAGGAGCCTGCTGAGTTTTCTGGGAACACTCCCCCCCGCCCCCGTGCCCTTTCACACATGCACCCCATCAGCAGTTGCCCCCCAGTGGGCCCTGGATTCCTTATCACATACTCTGGATTCCATCCATTCCACACCCAGCAACCCTCAGTTTTTAGAAATCTCTCGGTTATCAAATCCACTAGCCATCCCTGGGAGAGGTTGAGGGGTTGAAGGGCTCTCTGGAGGGGGGTTCTTAGATAGTCTCTTCCTCCACCATGTTCCTCTGATTTCTCCAAACCTTTCTTGCTCCCCCTCCCGCTCACGCTTCAGTTATATGGCAGCCGACATCCTGCAAGGTAGTCACAGAACTGTGTGTCATTCTTTTCCCAAAAAGAACCCCCCAATTCACCCATAATCTTTCACATCTCTTGGAGTATGAGCCATCACTTCATTTCAGAGGCTTCCACTGGCTTTGTGAGCCCCTACCAGGCTCCTAAGACCCAGTATTTGCTGCCCAGCTTAACTGCATATTTCCCAGTAAGTCCCCAATACCTCAAAAAAAAAAATGACCTGAGATGCACTCTATCTAACCTGTGTTCTCAGGGGATATAGTTATGTCCCCACTCTTTCAGCTGCTTGGCTCAAATCCTAGAGAGATGCCTGTCACCATCCCACTCCTCCAGTCTTTGTTCTTTACACCAGTTGGCCCATAGGATTTGCCATCACTTCCTCTATTGTCTCATCTCACCTGCTCACACCTCTCTGACTGGAGGTGCCGCAGGAGTGAGCTCTCACCTCTATACTCTATATTCCTACATTGCTGCCAAAGCACCTGCCCTCAGTCTTGACGGGTGTGTCTCCTTCCAGCTCATGCTCTAGTGAGTGGAGACACTCACCTTCCGAAAGCACATCCTGAGTCACCAACCTGGTCTCTGGGCAAATCATGTCCAAGCTACGAGTTTAGAACTGCTACAACTCAGGTCCTTTGTTCCCACCTCCAATCATCCCATTATGACCAGCCAAATTTTCTACCAGAGCTGATTTTGTCTATTTAACCCCTTTCATACATCCTGTACACTTCTTTACCATGCCTCAATCGGGTAGCCCTATTTTCTTCATGGACTTCAGCTTCATCTACCCTTTAAGCTCTTGACTACTGACTGGACAAATAGTACAGGTGGTAAGGCACTTGTCACAACCCTCGTTTGAATCCCTGGCACCACATCTGGTCTCCTGAGTACAGATCTAGAAATAGTCCCTTGAATACCAGTGGATGTGGCCCTGAACCCAAAACCAAATAAACTAATCTCAACTAATGTCTCTGAGAAACATTTCTTGATTCTTCACACGCTTTCTCTCTCTTGAGGCACTTAGATCCCCCATCACTGGCTTGGGTCTTAGCAGGCACTGCTGCGGCCACTAGAGATCTTTAGCTGTGATGAAAATTATGTGTTCATGACAGCAAAAACCATTTGGGGAGTTAGATGAGCACCACCCTCTGCACATCTTGCACTCCTTAGGGACAAGGGGAAGCAGGTCACTGAGCAATCGGAGGGGAAGCAGGTCACTGAGCAATCGGAAGGTGGTTCACTTGGGTGTCAAGCACTGTGCTCACCACACTTGCTTTGGGCAGGACTCTGGGTACTGGAAGCAGACTCTGCCCTCTGGGTAGCTAATTGCTTCCTTAGTTCTCCAGGGGCTTCCCTCCAGGCACGTGTGACAGAACTGCTTATTTTGGACTATTTTGAAAAATAACCACTGATTCGTTTGGGGGGTTGACCTCTTGAGTCCAGAATCCCTACCCTATCCAGTTCAATTTAGTATACATACCTACAGCCCAGTTCTGCCTGGAGAACTAACTCAGATCTTCAATCCCAGGGGGTAGCGCTGGTGCCAATCTCCACTCTGGGGTGCCCACTTTCCCTGCCTTACCCCACTGTGTCTGGGGTACACTGTTGCTTTTTGCTTGCATCTCTTCCAAGTTCTGAAAAGGGGTCTGAGCACTGCTGCTCCATGATGCTAGCTCATCTTCTGATAATTCTGAGTTCCCGAATCCCATCTCCCCTCATCTGTCTGCAATTCCCTGGATTCTGGTCCTCTCACCCAGACTACAGCAGTTATGATAACACTCTGATTTTGTTAGTCCTTTCTTCATTTCAATCTCTGACACTCACATGACTTTTCACACCCAAGTCACCTAGGTTGGTGGTCAAAAATTCCTTGTCTTTGTTCTGCTTAGGAATAACACAAGCCATTAGCATTTTTCAGTCCAGTGGTGAACCTTCCCAACCTCTTCAGCCATATCTGCATTCCCATTTTATTTTCTATCAAAATACTCTTTCTCCCTATGAGTCTTCATTGTTTGGTTAGGAAGCCTGGAGGTTGGGGCGGAAAGGCTCCAAGCTTTTGGTAGTTTTCCCCCTTGGGAGCCCATTTACTTTGGACTCTATTTCTGACATATTCTTTAATAAACCACACTGGCATGGCTCCCTGTAAAAATATCAATGCAGGTTCAGTTTCAAATCCTTGTTTGTGGCGAGGCCATCTGGTCCATGGAGTGCATTTTTCCATTGAGAACTTTCTGACCTGTGCAACTACAAATACTATGAACCTATCAGTGCCATGCACATAAAAGGTGCTCAAGTCACCACTTTCTTTTTCAAAATGATCCTTGAGGTTGGTATCTCCCAGACTCCAAAAGTAAAACAGAAATTGTCCCCCCAAATAGCACCCTGAACATTCAGAGGGTATCACAGAGATAGATTTAAAAGGCTCAACCCTTGAAAGTACAGGGAGAGAAAGATGTAGAGGAAAGGGAGTAGTTTAAATCCCAAGCCCCCCCCCCATTGTGGTTTTAAACACCCACACTGGGAAGATGCCAAGCTCAAAAAAAATCCAAGCGAAAACTGAGTTGTGGGGCGAGGAATTGAAAATAGGAGTCAGAAAGCCATGCATTTTAAAAATAGCTAGTAAAATAATTCATCACCTCAACTACATCAAAAATCATAGGACAAATCAGGAGAAAAACCAAAAACCAAAACAGAGCTTTAAAGGGAACCGATGGTGTGAGGGAAAAAAAAATCTCGAAAATACCTGTGACAGGTTTGTAGTGGGGGCTTTACTAAGCGTCTCCACTTTTTCTAAATCTGCCTCTAACTCTGTTTGGTAGAGGTGGAGATCTTTTTCTAGGTTAGTCTGGTTCGAGAAAGAAAAGACAGGAAAGAAGGTTTTAGTTTGGGGAAAAGGCACAAAATATGGAAGGTTAAGTTTGAAAAACAAATGTTCTTAGTGTTAAACTTTAAAAAGGCAGAGATGGCATGACTCAAATGCAAAAGCTCACTAGAAATTAAAGGCGTGAAAACAAAGAATACAGCATTAGGAATATAAAACAGAATCCTGAAGTCATCAGCACTTCAAAACTATTCTACTTGCTAAAGAAAACTACAGACACCACAAAAACCTACCTGCAAGGAAGTACCTATTTCCTCTCTTTTCAATAGTATGATGATGGCAACTAATACTCTACATCCAGAAGACTAAGTAATTGCTCTAAAAATTGTTCTAGGTATCAGTGTTATGTCTTAGAGAATTTAAATGGTTTCATCACCCAATCAAAAGAAAAAGTTGATCATCAAGTTATCATTTATTTAAGTGATTTAAGAAAATAAAAGGAAAGAAAAAAATCCCACAACACACTCACACTAACCAGGCTAGAGAGCACACACACAGCCCACGGAGGCGGCAGAGCAGAATTACCTTTCTATCCTCTCTAGGAAGGATAGAGCAGTCTCCAGGAGTATAATCCCATATCTTTTTGGGAGGCTGACGGGAAGCAGAGGAGGAAATGAAGAAATGAGCATAAAGACATAAGACAAACATGGAGACTGGCTCAAACAAAGAGGGGCACACTCAGAAAACTGTATCAACACAGAAAACTAAGAGTGCAGGGAGAGGGCTCAGCTTGCTAAGGATACCCCCCTCCCCCAGGGATACCAAGCTAAAGAGGAACCCTGCAGAAACTAGGAGCTGACCACATTAACTCTACGCCTGTGTCTCAAGAGGAAAATCATTCTCGGGAAGTAAATACTGAGAACTTAAAGGGAACCAAAAAAAGAGAGAGAAAGAGAAAACAACAATCCCTGTTTGAACAAAACTAGAAACTTTCAAATTCCTCGCTGATTTTTTCAAATGAAGACTATTGTCAGAGCATCGACACATTAGTCTACACAATCTTTTCCTCTTGTAAATTACTTATGTGTTCATAAACGCATGAATTGGGAGATCGGAGTTCAACTGATACACTGTGGTCTGTGGACTCCATGTCCACAGTGGGTGCTCAGCACTGCATACAGAACTAGGAAATTACACTGTGTAAAGTCTTCTTTATAGTTTCACTAGACATGAGTAACATTGCTGGTGGTTGAGTGAGACTCTGTTCTCCCTCAGGGAACTGAGTTGACATCTAAATGCTGAACCATAAGCTTATTTAATTGTCTCCTTTAAGTCTTCATGTTGCAATTAGAGTTGTAGTCCTAAAATATAAATTTGCCAGAACTTTAAATTTAATGAAGGTGGGATAGGAAAACAGGGTATTCAGAAGTGGCCTCAGGTAATCTCTTTCCTACAGAATGAATCTTCCCAACCCCATTTATTTGAATTTAAAAAAAAAAACAACAAACCCTGAAATGACTAAAACACTGCCCAAAACATTTATTTCTGAACCTTTTTTTCTCCCTGTTCTAAGTTTTTTTTGTTAATTTTTAACTTCATTCATTTATTTTCTTTTTTTCTTTAGTTTTTTGCTTTTGTTTTTTGGGGGCATCACACCCAGAGATGCTCAGGGGTTACTCCTGGCTCTACACTCAGGAATTACTCCTGGCAGTGCTTGGGGGACCATATGGGATGCCGGGGATTGAACCTGGGTCGGCCGTGTGCAAGGCAAACTCCCTACCCACTGTACTATCACTGTGAACACGTATTCATTTACTTTCTAAGGGGCGGGGGGGGGGGGGGTCCTTCTTCTTGTTCTACCTTCACCTTGAGAGTTCTGGATCAATGGCCTTTAAGGAGAGGGCATCAATAATAATTCCTAGAATTTTGTACAAAGTTCATTATAGCCAGCTCTGTGGAAGCATCCAAATTAGCTTTTGTTGTGACACTTTGCCTTGAGCTTACTTAGACAAAACTCATCAATTTCTGCAAAATTTGGGGGTGGGGAAGGAGAAAGAACAGGTACCCAGGCTCTGATCAAGAATCTGAAAGGGAAAAGTCATCTGATTTCAAAGTGCTTCTACATGGACAGGCACATGTGTATACTTTGCAGTTGGTAAAGATGGTGTTAAAAACTATGGTTATTCATATTTAAGCATTTATTAACATCCTTGGACTATTAATCTAAAAAAATAAGTTTTAAAAAGAAAACCACTTTTGGTATCCCTCACTCTATTTGCTTGCTACAAAAATAAGGTAACTTATTAAGTGTAAAAAAAGTATTTACACTTTATATTGGCTTCATATAATTCACCCAAAAATGGTTCCTGGAGGTTTGAATGGACATGTTATGATAATCTATTGAAGATAAAAGGTTAGTTAGGGGCCAGAGCGATAGTATAGCAGGTAGGGTGTTTGCCTTGCACACGACTGCCCAGGTTCGATCCCTGGCATCTCATATGGTCCCCTGAGCACCGCCAGGAGGAGTAATTCCTGAGTGCAAAGTCAGGAGTTACCCCTGAGCACTGCCGGGAGCGATCCAAAATTTTTTTTTTTTAAAAAGGTGTTAGAACCAGGATCTTGCTAAAATGTAAACTCATTTGAGGGTGGCTTTAACTGAAAGGGTTGAAGAAGAAAAGAGTTCAGGGTAAATCTAGTTGCTGAAGGTTCTACTTACTCCGGGAAAGCAGGCCCTTAGTTGGTATTGGGGTAAAAATATAATAACAAGTAGACTCACATGATTTGGTTTTACTTTCATTTTGGTCAGAATGACTAAGGAAAGTTTCCCAGATAACTTCTATAGTTTATTCCACTTTTATTTCATGCCTCTCACTCTTAAGTGTTACAGAGTGATTGCATAGGAGAGAAGAGAAAAAAAAATTCTGCTACCCTTTCTTCCCAAGTTCTGTGAGCAATATCCAATCACCAATTTGGCTCAATGAGATAACAGGCCCACCCCGGGATACTTCAGCCCATAAGAACCACTTATTTCTATGTTGGTGCTTAGGCTACAGTGGTTGATTGTGTCATTTTGTCAAGTTTTTGCCAAGTATTCTCTTAGCATTTTTAAAGATCCATATAAGAAATAGTGGTAGTAGTAGTTGTGGTGGTGGTGGTGGTGAGTCTTACATAAGGACTTTAAAATCTATGCCAGTAAAAAACACACATGGCTTCATAGAAAACGAGTTTGGAAAAGTATCTCTGAGTCTCAATCTTTAAACAATTAAGAGTCTATGAGAACAACAGGGTAGGGATACAAATTACAAGACAGTCCCAATACACAAATGGGTAGTTTCCTCAATGTTTGTTTGGACTGGTTACTGTGGTACTCAGACCACACGTGTAGAAACTGTGCTAATTTGTGAAGCTATTTGTGGTGTGTAGCTCATCATATTCAGCAACTAAAATAATGTCTGTTGCTAACAAAATTAAAATTTTTTGTCATAAACTAAGAAGTAGTCTATCAGTAATAAATAGTTGCAATTATTTAAAAGAAAAAATAATAAAGGCTTCACAGCTTTCCCTAAAAGCTTTCCCTAAAAGCTTTCCAGCTATCTGGAAAATCTGAGGATAGTTGGAAAATTGTGAATTCTAAAAGGAATTTCAAAACTCAGTGTCACACATTATTCCATATAATTTTGCTTTTTTTTGATGAAATTATGGCTCCACCCACCCCCTGCTTTTTAAACCATCACCTCAGCTCTTCAGTAGGAGGAGGGGCTGGTGAGCAGAGAACTAGTTAACTTTTTTTTAAGTGAGATAATTGAGCAGGTGTTTAGGATAAAGAAAGGAACAGCATGTGATATGGGACACTGTTAAATATTTGTCTGATACAGACTTCTCTGGCATCTGAATGGGAAACAACAGAAAATAAAGGGATAAAAAGGAGAAAATGGGGTGCACTGCGCCAAAGCTTTGGGAGAAGAGGTGCTTTCCTCAGCATCTGTCACTAGGTGGCACTGTTCACCCAGGATCGCTTAGGGTATATTTGGAAATTGCTTGCAAATGGAGAAGGTGAAAGGCCTCTTCCTCCAAAGGATGTGCACAGGTCAAGAACTCCCATCTCAGAAGGTGACTAAACTTTCAAACAAGCTTAGCATGACTAAATCAAAACAGCAACTGCAAAGCACTGCTTTTTTTTTAAATCTCATCTTAATAAGAAAATGTAGTCATGGAATTGAACACTTCTACTGAATTATAAAGTTAATTCCAGCCTGCAATAAAACTCATTTCAAACCACAATGATCCAAGTGCTGATTCAAGGCTAGTGTCTCATATAAACATCAAATAAAAATGCTATGTTTCAATACATTTAATTCCCATGCCTGTAAATTAGTTTTGCAGCGTAATGATTAAGACTAGAGTAAAAAGGAATTTTGAGGCTAATTTCTAGTCATCTCCAGTGGAAAGATGATCTCAATTCTCCCTTCTATTTAATACTGATGGGGGTTCAGGGCTAAGAAAACTCTCCTTTTTTAAGTGTCAAAAGTCAAATTGTACCTAAATTAATTTGTACTCAAGCCAACACAGATAGTTTCCTGGAGGTTGCAAAACAGTATTAGGCTAAAAATACATTTGCTCAAATTCTTACCATTACCCTAACTCAAGAAACAATTACATAAAGTTACCTCTAAGGGTTGGATTCACGGATCCTATCTGCACAAAGAAGCCCTTTTGGGTCTGCTATGACATTTCCCTTGCATATGTGTTTTTAAACATGCTTTTATGGCCGTGATAAAGCTGCTGTTCTGTGTGCATTGTGTTTTTCTGTTTGTCTACACTATGTCAGAGAGTCTTTGGTTAAGAAACTCAACCAACTGCTAAAACAATGCCATCTACAAGGCAAAAAAAAAATTGGTGCTAGCTGTGGTGATATAAGATAAGCAATGATTTATTTAGATATGTGTGTCTGGGATCTTCTGGAAATAAATTCCTCCAACGCTCGCCTTCCTTTCTCGGTGAAGTAAAGTGATGGAAAGTTTACACAGGGTGGAGTAAGAATAGATAATCCCGCGCTGGAAAGGGACGTGGCCCTTCCCCACTTCCTGAATTCCTTCCAAGGAGATCTGACTCCTTAGCAGCAACAGCACATCAACAGCATCATTTTAAAAGGTGTCTATAACCACTGAAGCTATTAAACTTACCGGTTTCCCAAACTCCAATTCCGAAAAGAATTTATACCAAGGTTCATTCTTTAAATCTATCTCTTCTGGGCTTATATCCCGACTCTATAAGGGGTTGGTGACAGGGAAATGGAAGAGAGAGAAGGATAACATTATGCAAAGATTACATAGGAACAGGCCAGTAGAGATGCAGTGGTCTCCAGGTGACAGGGCAACTGCATTCAGTAGCAGCAATCATTCTTTCTTAGCGCCATCAGCAAAAACAGCTAGAACAGGTTGGGGAGGATGGGTTTCTAGAAACAGACACTGCGGTAAGGGCCAGTGGGGGGATCATTCTCAGTCCTCAGGCAGAAGGCCACTGAACTGTATAGAGAAGTCTCCCTCACACCGCTCCCGCTGCCACAGATCTGAGTGTGGGCATAACTTTAGCCCTTCACAGCACTGCCAGTACTGTGGAGAGAAAAGAAAGCCATTATTTCCTCTTGACAGAGATCTATTAGTCACAAACAAATAACCTGGTGAACACGTCAAACATTTAGGCATTGTTGCCAGGTGAGCGGAGCAAATCATTTTTATGGGCTAGTACAGTTTTAGTACTTTGCAAGGCTGCCTTAAGGTTTTCAAAATAAATGCAAATACACTGTAAAAAGCCAATTTGTTAATACTGCATCTTTAATGGCACATGAGTAGGTGAGAAACCATGTCCCATACATAGTAAAGTGACAGATGACATAAGTAAAAAACAGAAGACACGGGTAAAAAAACATTTTAAACAAGCATCTGTGGGGAATGAAAACAGACAGAATATACTTTGTGTTCTAACAAATAAATGTTAAGGAACTGGGGAAAAAAATAAAGCGAGGGAAAGTGGAGCAAGATAGATAACAGAACAACAGGGGGAAAAATCTTCTGTTATATTACCCCCTCCCCAAAAAAAGTTAATTTCTCACTTTATTTAAATCTAGAGTTAGTTCACTGAGACCCATTGTTTGGTCCTGTGGGATTTCATTTTATAAATATATTTATAAAGTTTTTGTACTTTGCAACTGTACTTTATTATCCCATGGAGGGATAAAATGTGTTTCTGAAAATAAGGAGTTAGAAAGTAAATACCTGGAAAGCAAATCAGGTTTGTGTGTAATTAATAGGAGCTATGTTCACAGCAGACAAAGGTATCTGACACTCATGGCTCAATTAAGTTTATACAGGTAAACAGGTTACAAAGCCCCTGGCGGTCACAGAAGAGAGACATGGTGTCTTTCTGTAACAACGTAAATACACAATATATATTGTGTGAGAGTGAAAATACTGGGGCTGGAGTAATAGTATAGCAGGTAGGGCATTTGCCTTGCACGTGGCCGACCCAGGTTCAATTCCCAGCATCCCATATAGTTCCCCAGGTCCTCCAAGTACCACCAGGAGTAATCCTGAGTGCAGAGCCAGGAGTAACCCCTGAGCGTCACTGGGTGTGACCCCTCCCCCCAAAAAGAGAGAGAGAGTGAAAATATCTGCTAATAAAATCCACTCCCAGGGGAGGAGAAATAGTTCAGGGGTAAAAGTGCATGCCTGTGGGGCACTTGCCTGACTTGCACAAGGCCCTGGGCTGGATTTCCGGTATGATGGGGGAAAACACATACCAAAAAGATGTCTTTCTCATATATGGCTGACCCTGGTTCAATTCCCAGCATTATGAGGATCCCCATATATTGCCAGATACAGCCCTGGTACCCCTCCCCACCCCACAGCACCACTAGGGTGGTCCAAATAATCCCTAGTACCACAGGACCCTTGTACTCTTGGGTCCTCACGGTGAAGTCCCATCCTGATTGGTGTAGAACTGCCCAGAAGACCCGTCCCCAATGCTGCTACCTTCCCAGGCTGCCTTCTTGGACATGTTTTCCTTAACCCTCAGTTCACAGGCTTTTAGACTAAATTCTTTAGAAGAACTTTAGAAGAACTTTAGAAGAACTTTAGAACTTTAGAACTAAATTCTTTAGAAGAAAGAATTTAGAAGAACTAAATTCTTTAGAAGAACATCTCCAAATCAGCCGCTTGCTTTTTGGGCTGGAGCGATAGCACAGCGGGTAGGGCGTTCGCCTTACAAGCGGCCAACATGGCCGACCCGAGTTCGATTCCTCCACCCCTCTCGGAGAGCCCGGCAAGCTACCGAGAGTATTCGATATGCCAGACACAGTAACAACAAAGTCTCCAATGGAGACGTTACTGGGCCCGCTCGAGCAAATTGACGATCAACGGGAGGGCCTTTACTTTACTTTACTTACTTTTACTATTGTTCCTACTCTTCCTTTGCAAAAAGTAAACTTTTCCTTAACCGACACTGGCTGAATACAAGTGACCTGGAACCAGTGTATAGAAACAGAATCTGTCTTCTTGTATTCATATTAAAACCTTCCCCAATAGTTCACAGTGATCCAAGGCTTACATCCTGAAGAATGTTTGTTCCTCAGAAGATTCTGTAATTATGTACAATAATGGACTCTGATGGTGTCTGTATTTGGTCGATGAAATGAGGGACACTAGCAAGATTTTTCAGCAGGGACTGACCAAATGTCCTAGGTCCTTATATAATGGGCTTGTGGAAACGTACTTCATGTTTATTGTTTTAAAAAACTGCTTAGAAACTGCTCTCTGGGAAAAGATGGAGCTTTATAAAAAAATAAAATGCATCAACTCTTTCAGGAAACTGACCTTTTGTTAGTCAGCCCTGAAAGAATTAACCTAATTTTATTACCTAGAGGTTGTTTGCAAATGGTTTTACTGCTGAGGGGAATATTATATCAAGAATTGAATCATACAAAAAAAAATAAAAGCTGGAGTTACAGTACAGTGGGTAAGGCATTTTGTCTTGCACGTGGCTGACCTGGGTTTGATCCCTAGACAGTCCCCTGAGCACTGTCAGGAGTGATCCCTGAGCACAGAACTAGGAGTAAGCCCTAAGAACAGCCAGAAATGCCACGCCCCCTTGACCCCTACTGCAATTTTAAAAAAGAGTGAATCAGGTGATATATCAACCAGTTTGTAGCTGAAATAGTAGGTCTCATTCAAGCCCTGTGAATTACCCAGAAAGAAAGAGTTAAAGAATAATAACACTTATAATGTGGTAACAGGCACACCCTTCTGTATGTATAGCAGGTCTCTGACCTAAGCTGGCAGGGCAGGCTAAGTTTTCTCTTGGATGACTCGCATTGTGGCAGCAGCTTTGGGGAGAACAGCAGACTCACCAGGAAGACAGCTGATTCTCCTCAAGGACAGTTTTGCTGCTTGGACAGGAGCCAGAGACTAGAATACAATTTTTTTTGTGGGGTTTTGGGTTCCAGGTGGCAATGGTCAGGGATTACTCCTGGCTCTGTTCTCAGAGGACTCAGGATCAATTTTAAACTCAGTTCTGTGAATATGGTATATCCATTTGCACAGCACTTTTTATCTGTGGTCCTTTTACCCATAACAATCCTCTCATTCAATCTTTCACAAGATTGGCAGGCCAGAGAATACGTCTGCTTTAAAGATGAAAACAGTGAAGTTCAGAAAGGTCACATGACTTGCCCCAAGACAAAAGTCAGAGCCAGAACTTTAGAACTCAGATCTTCCAAATACTAGTCCAGTTCTCATTACACCAGACTGATGACTTTCAACCACTGCAGTTCTGACCCACAGGTGTAGTCTTAAAACCATTGCACTAGATTATATTCCACTTCTCATACTCCCTATGGCCCATGAGGTTTGCACATGGTGTCAAACTTAAAGAGGGAAGACCAACTTGACAACTCAAGACAGAATTCAAAATGGCCATGTTTTGAAAGAAACCACATTAGGTAAACCTGTATGAGATGTCTTTACTTTCCACCATATTCTATAGGGGCGGGAAACCTCAACATCTTATTCAGGACTTGACACATAACAGTTACTATGTGTACCTGTATATATTTGCTCAATTGAGCTGGGAAAGTTCTGCTAGGTACTTGGAAGGAAATGTAAAGGAATTAAGACTGGAAAAAGCCACTTCTGATCAAGCAGGAGAGGATCTGCCCAAGAGAGCTGCAATTCCATGGCCAGAAGAGAAAAAAATGGATCTGTGCATGATACAAAGGTAGACTAAGTAGTTATGAAGAACTTCATATCAATTTGTCAAATAACTGAACAGGTCATGAAAATGCACATTTCCAAGGGGAGTGTTGTCTTTCACCTTCTGGGGATGGTCTTGTTGACTCTAGGGATGAAACAGCCTCTATGTAGCCCTGACAGTTGACCATTGTAGGCTTCCTTTGAACATGAGTAGACATCCCTATGAGGACATAGTCTTTTAAGATACATCAGACTTAAAAGTATGGAGGAAAGCACATCTTTTGATTTTTCCCCCCAAAAAAAGACTTGTGTATGCCTGGGAACAAATTTAGATTTTACATCTGCCACTAATTATTGTCCTTATCTAGTTACCAACTAACTAGCGTATGTTGGTGGTAGTGGTGTTGGCAGTAGGGAATCCTCAGATTCTGGGAAAACAGGCACTAGGTACCCAAATCAATAATTCACAAACTAAAAATCACTTCGATTACAACTTTTCCTGTGGTAAAAGTAGACGGGAGCAAAATTCCAAATAAATTCAACTACTGCAAAGAGTAGATGGAGCAAACTGAGTTAAATTTTCTCTCTAAAATAAGATTTTTTGGGACAGAGTGTTAAATAGGGGAAAGGGCCCTAAACCAAACAATTGTACAGTCATGTGGCTTACTGGCCATGTGCCCCATTACCGGATAGACCTATAGCCTAGAACAATCCAGGGGGCTTCTTGGGGCTAAACACCTTAAGAGCTGCTTTGCAATATGTGGGTGTGATCACTGCAGCATCCTAAACTCCCCTGGACCACATCCCCATGGGCCTAAATGTTGTTTTTCAATGTTTATAAAACCAATATAAATGATCCCAAGAACTGTGGTTTGGCAGATACTTGAAACCACTGTGCTATCAATAAGAAAAATGAGTATTTGTTTTATTTCCTTCTTCTGAATAACGATCAAAGTATGAGGAAACAAGAAAAGGGGAGGGGGCAGAAGATATTTTAAAAAGCTACAGATTTCACATAAAAGCTGTGGCCATCTATGAACAATAATAAGGTCTCCCCCCTAAAAAAAAGAAACACCCAAAATCATTTAAATCATGTTATGGTGTATCCTCATCTTGTCATTCAAGTGTGTCAATGACAAGTGTGTCAAGAGTAGGACTTTCCTTCCAGGAATATCCATGTGGAAGGTTCCCTGCCAAGCTTGTTCTTTCAATAGGGAGAGAGCCTGTATTGAAGGGAAGAGCCAGGGACAAAAATCCCCTGCTTTCTCTCTGAACTTTCTGCTTAAAATAACCAGGGTATGCTGTAAATGCCAAAAAATGACAACTCTAAATCATTTTCGCGAACTGCTGTCCTTTTTCTCTAATTAAAATTGCTAATCAACTTTTGCTTTTAAAGATGTCACATTTTTATTTTAGTGAAAGCGAAACCAAGCATTCCTTAAAAACACGTAGAGCAGAAGAGGATCAAGGAAAATAATTTGGAATCTGCATTTCAGAGGTCTACTTATTCTAAACTCTGTGTGGTAATAACATTTTACTGAAAAGCAATCCTCAGCATGATAATTCCATCCGGCTGGCTCGGCTGGAGAGCTGTGATGTTTACAGGACTTTGGAGAATCCCTTTACCCACAATCAGAATTCTGAACTAGCCTTTTCTATGGGGTCTTTAAGGGGAGTGTGATAGACAGACACGAAACAAATCCATTTGTAAAAATTCCTTCTCATTGCCCCAAACAGTTGCTTTTACAGGGTGGTCCAACTCTGCCCATATAGGTGATTTCCCACACCTAAAATAAGTTGGAGATATGACTGGCAATACCAGATTGAAAAGGAAATTATTCCTCAATATTTATTACACTAGGCAGAAAAGACCTAACAACATATTTTTCTAACAGCCTGGAGCTTCCCCCCCGCCCCCAAGTCATAACATCATATCAATTATTTAGTTTGGCATGATGTACTAGCAAGTTCTTGCAAATTTTAAGCATGTTCAAATAAATGTCACTTAAAAAAATAACAACAAACAACCCCCCCACTTTGTCCAGTTAGTAACAAGCCTGATAAAATTCATGGTTAGATATATATATACATAAAAGACAGCAATACAATTAATCTTTATATTAGCAGAAAAATTAAAATGAGTTAAAACCATGCACAAGAAGAGCAACAATGCCACAAATAAAAGGATTCTTTTAAAGCTGACTCGTAGGACTTATTTTATGAACACCTGCAAAAATGGAAAGGGTAAAAATACTTCAGTTTTTCATTGTCTTCTAAACAAAGCAAGTCTATCTCAAGGGAGAAATACAATAATCCAAGCGCACAATACATCCGGATTAAAGAACATGGCAGGGTGAGACAAAGAACTTCAATATGCACATTACCATCTTTTCGTTGGTCAGAACGGAGGACTTGCCCGGCTGATATTCATAAATGCTTCTGGGCTCTGCACGGTATTTTCTTGTATCCACTTTCTTATCTGGGGGCTCCCAGTCGTTTCTGTTGAAAGAAAATCCTATGAGAGCTATTTTCATGAAAATTGACATCCGGCATGGCCTGATTTTGGCTGACTGCAGTCTAGTCAAGGAATTTGTATATCCGAAGCAGATAATCAAACTCAGGACGAGGCATTTTGGTTGTACTGGTTTCCTGCTCTCTGTGTCCACTTCACAGAAGGCTTGAGGTTCTCTGTGCTCAAAATCAGAAAGAGAAAAGGAGGGAGGGAGGAAAAGCAGCAAGCTTGCTCTGGAAAAATCCTATACCTCGCTCTGTTTTCATGAGCTTTCATTTCCCAAACATGCTGGCACTTCCCACTCATACTAGTACAGAAAGAGACTGTAGATTCAGGAGCCAGTAGGCTGTGGTTCAAATCCCTGCTATGGCATTTGCTAATGTGGTGATCTGGGTCAAGTACCTTTACTTCTTGCTACCTCACCTTCCTAATCTGAAAAATAACATAGTTGTAAGGATAAGCAAGAGAATGCTAAGTCCACTGCAACCATTCAATAAACGTTATTTGCTATCCCAGCTGTGACTTCTCTATTCTTCGCCCACTCTGCAAAGCTCCCAAATCATCTCCCACTCTGCTGTCCTTGGCAGCAGAGCTAGTTAATCTGGTATTCAGCAATCGGTTTCAGAGCATGCATAAATCCTTGATTATTGTCTGCATTTTTAGGGGGTGGGTGGGACTCATTTAGGACAAAACAGTGTTGCTCTGTGGCTTCTGTTGGTACACTGCTCAAGGGTTGTTCCTTGCCACTCTGGGGAATGATGAGATATCAGGGATTGAACCAGAACCTCCCAGTAGTGCTCACTCTTTGAGCGATCTCTCTGGCCTTGTCTGCAAAAAATTTCTAGGCTTGAACATTACTGCCTTTGCACTGTGCTTACATTTACTTTTTCTTGCAAGACTTTGAGGTCAAGAACTCTGATTTATTCATGCATATAGGAGACAGACAGAGAGAGAGAAAGAGAGAGAGAGAAAATAAGAGAGAGAAAATGAGAGAGAGTTCAAGTGACAGACACATGTTAGCAGGTGTGAAGTGTGATGTGAGGTCTGGAATTTGATGTCAAGTACCCAGTGTTCTCCCTCTCACACCTGGGCAAGCACTATTGGTGTAGTTCTGGCCCATGAGCACCACTGGGCATGAGCCCTACATAAAAAAAATATAGTGGAAAATATGTTTATATTCTTCCATAACATTTGGTTCAATCTGTGCACAAAATACATGTAGGCACTTGTTCAATGTACTTGTAAAGGATTTATTGGCATACCTGGCCTTCCTTTCAGATTAATTAGCAAACTCTTCACGTATATGCCTCTTAGTATGGTGTGTGGCTTTACAAACAGCCTTGCATTTGTCTATGAAGATGGAAAGGGCATAGAGGTACGAAACTAAGTGTGTATTTAAGAGAAAGATTCAGTATGGAGAAAGTTACTTTTGTGTTGATAAGTGGAAGCTGGGAGGGGAAGATGAATGGAAACCAACCAAGTTTAGATGCTCTGCAGGACGTAAGAACTCAATTAATGAAAACCATTTCATTAGTTCAGGCTTTATAAAAGGTAAAGGCCCTCCCGTTGATCGTCGATTTGCTCGAGCGGGCCCAGTAACGTCTCCATTGGAGACTTTGTTGTTACTGTGTCTGGCATATCGAATACTCTCGGTAGCTTGCCGGGCTCTCCGAGAGGGGCGGAGGACTCGAACTCGGGTCGGCCATGTTGGCCGCGTGTAAGGCGAACGCCCTACCGCTGTGCTATCGCTCCGGCCTCAGGCTTTATAAGATGACCAAAAAGAGTTGGGGCAGCAGTTCAATGAGAGAAGACATGTTATGTATATATATATATATATATATATATATATATATATATTCCTAGGATTGAGGCCTAACATAGGGCTGCATGGGAGATGACTCAAGTGAGAACCAATCCTTGCTTTATATCATTAAAATATGTTGATATAAACAAATACACAGATAAACATTGCTTTACTTTAAAATTATATTCACTGCCCTAAGTCCTATTGGCAGGCAAATAGTAGGAAAAGACAAGTAAAATCTTATAGCTATGCTTTCTTTTGGGGGGAAAAATGCAAAAGGGGAAGACAGTAGTCAATATTCACAAAGTCTCTTCTGTACTGGCACTCAGAAAATTTTATCTGCATTATTTTGTCTTACCCTTGCAACCTACTCTATGAACATAAAATTTATTCCCATTTTGCAAGTGAGGATATTAAGATTCAAAAAAAAAACCAAGAAAAAAAGAAAAGAATGACAGAAAGACAAAAAGAGAGACAGAAAGAGAGAAAGAAAGAAACAAAGAAACAAAGAGAGAAGAGCAGAGAATTACAACATTACTATCAGATATAAACAAATAAACTGATAAGCTATGGAAAAATCTAAATATTGTCAGGAGAGTGAACAATATTCACAATCAGGTCAGCTTGACTCCTGACTCCAATGCAGCCTGACCCAGCAGAGGGAGTTTATACTTTACCGGAAGATTGTTCTCACCTAATAGCACAGGGCTGATGGTAGGTGAAAGCCTACTTACCTTTCTGGGCTAGATTTTAGTGAGGAAGAGCGGGCTGGGAGGGGAAGTGTGGCCGACCTCTTAACTACCTTCTCCCCATCAATGTAGTTCATCTCACTTTTTGAGCGAGGTACAGACAGGGGCACTTTTGCTGGAGAAGGAAAGGTGTGTACAAGAGACTTTTAAAATGGATAAAAACAGACAACAAGATGTCTCCCCTCACCCACCACCCTCCCCGCCTCCCCCTCAAGCCAGGAAGTTCCAAGTCACTTACTGTCTTCAGAAAAGGAGTACCGAGGGGAGTACAGGTCTGAATCATCATCTATAGTGAACAAAACAAAACGTCATCAGGAGAGATCAGGTGAGGGTGAGAGAGCTGAGTGACCTGTCTTCCGCTTCCACAGTCCTGCCCTGGGATCCGGCCACACCAGAGAGCCCAGCGGAGAGAGAAGGAGCCAAGCGCGAGGAGCGACACCACAGCAAACCACATTGGAGAAAAGCAGGCTTGTGGAGTCCACCCACCACACGGACCTGTGGTCTAGCAGGCCCATTCAGAATGCCAGACAGCAGGAAGACCAGAGGGCACCTGGAGATCCAGGTCCTCCTTCAGCGAATATGTATCTACAGCCCAAACTGGAACACAAGGTCCCCAGCCTGGCTGAACTAGAGGCTGGGGTAGAGTATCTGGTCTGGCCTGCTGGCTTCCGCAGATTCCGCCCCAGAGCCCTCTTCGAGATGGGATGGGGAGGTCCAGAAGTGTGGTTCCTCTCTGCCTACCTTGGCTGACAGAAATTGAGAAATAGTTCTTACAAGACGGGGAAAAAAATAGCACAGCTTGGGAAGTTAAACAGCTTATGGGCTTTAAAAAGTAAGAGAAGGAAAGATGTGGACATGACGGCAGCAGGGAAGGAAGTCTGAATGACTGAATGCGTGTGGGTGGGGTAAACAGCCATCCAAGGCAACCTGAGCAGGGCCATCTTGTGTGAACAGCTTTATGCTTTTGGAGAAGTGCCCATGCTGAGTCTGATATGTGCATGTCAGTGTGCCGACTATTAAGAGGGCAGAATGGGGCTGGAGAGATAGTCCAGTGGGTAGGGCTCCTGCCTCACATGTAGCTGACCTGGGTTTGATCCCCTGCATTCTGTATGGTCCCCCAGGGAACCGTCAGGAGTAATTCCTGAGAGTAGAGTCAGAAGCAACCCCTGAGCATCACTAGGTATGATCCAAAGACTGAGGAAAAAAAAAGGGGGGGGGGTGAGGCGGGGGCAAACCCAAGTAAGATGGATTTCTCTAAACTTTGATGAAATTTATTTTTCCTTTTTGGGTCACACCCGGCAATGCACAGGGGTTACTTCTGGCTCTGCACTCAGAAATTACTCCTGGCTGTGCTCAGGGGACCACATGGGATGGTAGGAATCGAACCTGGGTTGGCGGCATGCAAGGCAAACGCCCTATCCACTGTATTATTGCTCCAGCCCCTAAACTTTGATGATTAGTTCTCAAGGCATGCCATTAACTCTCATTGCCTAATGTTTATTTTATAGATCTAAGAGAATAAAATGTTACCTATCCTTATGGATAAAAATGACAATAGTGATCAAACACTATTTTACTCATAAGGATTGATCATTGTATAATTGAAATCCAAGCACAAATATATGTAAATCTACAACTGTACCTCATGGTGTTTCACTAATAAAAAAAAATTTTTTTAAAAATTGACAGGTGGAGGATGGGCACTGGTGGAGTGATGGGTACTTGATTATTGTATAACTGGAACCCAAGCACAAAAATTTATAAATCTATAACTGTACCTCATGATGTTTCACTAATAAAAAAATAAAAAATAAATTAAAAAATTTGACAATAGTATTCTCTAATTATTAGATATCTAAAAGTAATTAGTAATCTACAAATAGTTCACTTCTGTCTTAAAAAAATACCAAGAAGTACATAAATATATCATTTTATGGGCAAAGAAATTTAGGCCCAGGTAAACTGATAATCTAGGAATCAGAGCAACTGGCCTTGCATGCCACAGACTCCTGGCAGATCCCTGGCACTGCATGATCCCTTGGACACCACTAGAGATCAGCCTCCAAGCACAGAATTGGTAGAAGCCCCAGCACTAGTGGGGGGATTGGGAGTGCTCCCCCCACCCCCAATAAACAAGAACCAAATTAAGGTCCAAAATATCTGCCCTGGGCCACTCTCTGGGACGCAAACAGAGCAGTAATGGATTTGAAGTTTTGTAATCCATAGTCTCTATGCCACCTGGAAACCGGGGATGAGCACAGATGCTCCATGGTGCTCTGTCCTATGCACAATGCAGGAACAGCTGTGGCTACTCCAGCGTGGTTTTTATTGTGAAACAGAAGCTTCGGTTGTTGAGCAAAACTCAAGTCATGTACAGCAGTGCTGGCCACACTAACTTCCTGCCTGCAAAGCCTTTGCTCTATTTTCCTACATCACTCCAGCCCTGGTGGCACCAAGGCAAGTTTTCTGATTCACCCCACGACTTCTGGTTGCCCTTCTGCTGGTGTCCATGCACAGAGGACAAAACAGAGTCATTTATACTCTATCTGTCACTTGCTGCTTCTTGGTATCTTCTCTTGCAGGCTGGGTCTATAACCAGATAGAGGGCACAAAGTTTTAAAGTCCAATGAAAGGGCAAACTGGGTGCAAGAATCACCACTCTATCATCCAGACACCAGAGCTTTCCAAAGGGAACATGTGATTTTCACCACAGTGAAGATAATCAATCAGTAAGATGTCGCTCAAGCTGCCTATGCACACAAACACTGTGTCTGAAACTCTGCCTTCACTCTCCCCCACCATGGAAAACAATGCCCTCATGGGTTCGGCTGAGGACCTTGTGACTGAATCCTGCTCATGGTGAGCTTCACACTGCCTGTGCCCCCCTCGGAGATCCAAGCAGCAAACATCCAACCTTGGCAGGAACTCGCAGAACTTCTTGTGTGCCAGTGACTTCCAAGAAGCCCAACACTAAGTAGGATTTACTCAGGGGGAACAACTCAAGACTGGGTCCCAAAGGTCCCCCTAGCCCCTCAATGAGGCCTTTGTCAATCTGTCCTTGGTATACAACTTGGGGACAACCACTCTCTTAAAACTGCCAGGAGCCACATAATTGCCTTTTCAAGCACAGTGACTTCAAACCAGAGATTCTCAAACTGATTTGGCCAACCGCCCCTTTTTAGAAAAAAAAAAAAAGTAGCTGTCTAGAATCTTGAAGCAAACAAAGCTGTACCCAAGGATACTATGGCCCTGTGAATCTTCTAGTGCCCCTCAGGGGGTGAAAGAAGTATGGCCCACTTTGGGAAAGACTGAGTTAAGTGAGCCTCTTTTAAGAAAAGAATTTATAATAATCTTAAAGATAATGGAGGATGGTTAATAATCCTTAACAGCGCCTGTTAAGAATAGTTGTTCTATTAACAGTATGTTATTGACCAAAATGGGATGAAAGGTAAAAAGCAGCATTTGCATCATCACTTACCTGGATCAGTTACATTTCAATTTTAAACATTTCTTAGGCTTTGACACTTCAGATTCCTTTGCTAATTATCAGGGGGAACATTTTCTTTCCCATTGCTCAAATCAATACCTTCTACTTCATTCAAAGTACTTAGGAAGGGAAAGGATAACAGGGTCAAGAGAGAGAGGCACAAAATAAAAACAAAAAGAATGGGAGGGATACCAGGGTAGGGCTAAGGTGTGGGTGAGGCTGGAGAGGAAGAGACTAAGCAAAGGGGACAACGGGCAGGAGGATCTGCCTAGGAGCCTGGGAAAAGACTGACAAAGTTCTCTATGTTCTGGTTAAAAGCGACCACACTTTAAAGAATGACCCAAAAACTCAAAATAGAAGGTAGAATAGTAACAGAACCTAAGTTTTGGGGTTTCTTGAAATGAAACGAGTAGAGCAAGAGAATGGGGTGGAGGAGGAAACGGGGCTGGGGGTAGGGGGTAGGGGGCACCTGAGAGAACCAGAGGGCTAGAAAAAGACTCACCATGCCCCTGTCCTGTGGCATTTCTGGGCCTGAAAGGTGGCCAAGTAGTAACTGCCATCTCCTCACTACCTTGCGGGCCCGTGGAAAATTCTTGCACTTGTTGGGCGGCTCCAGTTATGGGAGCAAAGGTGACTGACGGAGCTCTTGGCCCCTCCTCTGGGCAGTCCCAACTAGAGTTTGGGGCAGAAGGCACAGATCCCAGCCAGGCATCTTCACAATAGAATGATGTGTGCTGCACTCAGGGCAAAAATCAGGCTATTCTTAGAAATCCTGTAAGGCCCTCAGAAGATCATTTTACTCAAATATAGATGTGGCTGGGAAAAATCAGCCCCTGTAAATCAGGGCTGCAGTGCACCCTTCAAGAGAAGAGAAGAAAAAGCTCAATGAAACACACCAGGGTCCTGTGGCTTGTCACTGACTCCTGGGGATACCCAGAGGGGGCAACTGGAGTCACTTCGCCAGTGTGGACAGTGGCCCCCACCTGCTGGACAGAGATGGGAAAGGCATCTGAAAGCAAGCCAGAGGCTGCTCTCAAGGACATCACCTCTGGCAGGACAGCCTTTACTTGATTTGGGTTTTCAGGGGCCATATGGAACACAAAGTGACACACCAGTTACCTGGTTTTGCTGTTTCAAGGAGGTGTCATTTGCAAATATCTTGCAATTATTTGACATAAAACATAAAAGAAACATCTGACCATGTTCAGAGTCGCGGAGAATCCACTCTTGGATTCTATTTCCCACACACATTCTGTCTCTAACTCCCCCACCTCAAAGCATGGAGGGCATCTTCTACCCCATTTGGAGGGTAGAAAAGGTGGTATTCTAGAGGTTCCAGTGGTTCTCCTCTCCAGTATGCATGAAATCACTCAAGGAGCTTTTCCAGATAGCAAGCAGGGAAGAAGCAGGCTCAGCTGAGTGAAGCTGAGCAAACTGGATGACTGAATTCGGGAGCTTCTGGCCAGGGGGACAACTCAGGCCCCAAAGTGCAACAAGGAAGGGAAAGGAATCAGGGGGCACCTGAGTGGAGTCAGACAAGGCCTGTCTAGAAGCCCTTCTGATCTGATGGAAACTGACTGTCCCTTACGCTGTGATCTTGCAAACCTTAAGCTTTCTAAGCCTCATACTCTTAAAACCCCCCACGGGCCTTACTGGGAAGGTAAAGGTAAAGGTAAAGGCCCTCCCGTTGATCGTCGATTTGCTCGAGCGGGCCCAGTAACGTCTCCATTGGAGACTTTGTTGTTACTGTGTCTGGCATATCGAATACTCTCGGTAGCTTGCCGGGCTCTCCAAGAGGGGCGGAGGAATCGAACTCGGGTCGGCCATGTTGGCCGCTTGTAAGGCGAACGCCCTACCGCTGTGCTATCGCTCCTGGAATCATCCCAATGCCTGCAGCACAGAGCCTTGGGTCTGGTCTGGGCTCCATAACTGGCAGTGACAGCACCATCCCATGTTAACAGGTTTTGTTATTCTTGTTACTGATACTATTATGATTCGTGGAACTGTGACTGAGCCACTGAGGTGCCAGTTACCGCACCACTGCTTCTTAAAGCAGGAGGGAGGGGGCGAGACAGCCATGCGCTCTGGAAGCTAGTTCCCACACCGCTCCTCTCCATCACGTTGCAGGGAGCAATCAGGGGCAGGTTGGTCTGAAGATGTGTAGCAGCCCTTGGTGGGGCTGGCAGGCTCTGTTCGCCACCAGAAACTCCTCCCCCAATTCTAGAGTCTTTCTGAGGCAGATGCAAAAAGGGGACATTTCCCTCTAGGAGAACTATGGCGGGTAATTCCCAGCTTCAGGGCAGATAGGAAGGGATGATGGAGAAGAGAGGGTGGTTCAAGGAAAAGATAAAAGACAAAACGAAACTCACCTGGTTAGCCTTGAGTAAAAAGTATTTTTGGTAAATTAATCTCATTTTAAATAATCTCTCTAGAGGTCAGGGTATACAATGAAAGTCTCTTGAATCCATTTGGGATTCCAAATTTCTAAACCCAGATTCTTTCCAACTCGCTACCATATGAAATAGCAATTATAGGGATCCTGGCCGCAGCTGACCTGAATGGTCTCTAAGATGATTAAGGCATCCAAAGTGAGTAATCTCTTAGAATTTACAGATTTCTTTCAAAGTACCTTTGGAAATAATACACATGGACACACATTCACATAGTCCTTGGCTAGCCTAAATTTCATGTTCATTAATATCTCTGGAGGCTGATCTTCTCCTAGCATCTTTCACTGACAGACATAAACCTTTCTTGGGTTCAGAAAGAAATGCGAAATACCTGTCAGCCGACCAGGGCGGGAGTCACACTACGGTCAAGGCTGGGAAATCTCACAGGCCCTCCCAGACAACCAGCTCCAACTCAAGAATCTGCTGCTTTGAAACCAAATAAAAATTCTGAAATGATTCTAGCTCAGATGTCTCACTCATTTCTCAAAAGCCTCCGTCTAACCGAGCCTGCGTCTGGATCTGCCATTTAGGCAAGGTGCGGGGGTGACAGATGGAGTCGACCCTATTTTTGAAAGGTCTCTAGGGAGGACGGCTTCTGAGAAACGTGTATTAAAGTCTAACTGTCGTGGTTAATGTGAATTATTTCGGTCGCCTCGAACTTTTTTCCTTTTCTAATCCTTTAAGATGATTTATTCCTCTTGGGGTTGTGGAAATTGAAAAAAAAAATTTGCCTCCTAAATGATGAGGGGGTTGAAAGTAATCAAGTGAGCCCTTATTTGTTTTTAGCCTCTAGGCAAAGGAGAAAGAATTTCTTCTTGGGTCTGACTTGATATGTACCAAAAAGCAGACGTCAGTGTCAGCTGGGGTTGCTAGGTGTGGCAGATAATGACAAAGCAGCTCTGAGCAGGAGCCAGGCTGACAGTGAAAGGTGCTGGCGCTGCCCAGCAGTTGGCATTCTTTCCATCCCATGGCACTCCCTGTTTACAATGCAGGCTCCTTCAGATGGCCTTTCTCCACCCATGTCTCTGGGACACTTTGCTTTCAAGCAGACTGTGTACTTGTCATCCTATCTGGAAGAGGGTCCTATTTTATGAGTGGGCTGGGTCCTCTAGTCAAATAAAACAACAGAACAACATTTGCAATCAGACAAAATTACCCTATATTTCCCCCACCTGTCCAACTCTGGTTTCTTAAGCAGACCATTGGGTAAAATCAGCTCTCCTAGAATATCTGCCACCTAAGTTACTCCATTAGGAGGTCACTGATAAAAATGAAAGTAACAGCTTTAGGGGCTGAAGTGATAGCACAGCAGGTAGGGCGTTTGCCTTGCACGCAGCCAATATGTCCGACCCGAGTTCGATTCCTCCGCCCCTCTCAGAGAGCCCAGCAAGCTACCAAGAGAATCTCACCCACACGGCAAAGCCTGGCAAGCTACCCATGACGTATTCAATATGCCAAACACAGTAACAAGTCTCACAGTGTTACTGGGCCCACTCCAGCAAATCGATGAACAACGGGAGGACAGTGATAGTGACAGTGACGGCCGACCTGGGTTCGATTCCCAGCATCTCATATGGTCCCCCAAGCACCACCAGGAGTAATTACTGAGTGCAGAGCCAGGAGTAACTCCTGTGCATCACAGGGTGTGACCCAAAGAGAAAAAAAAAGTAACAGCTTTTAGTTTCTTCAACACTGGCTTGTTGGGTCGGCTTTTCTTCTGTTTGAAATAGGAATAGAAAACGGTTGCAAAGCACTGACATGCACATCTGGTATTTTAAGACTGTACCCAACACTTTATCCCAGTGAGTGATGTGATACATGATAAATGATGGGTGAAAGTTTGGGGAGTAACTGAATAAATGACTTTCCCAATGAGGAGGGCTGTGTGGAATGATTTGTGGAGCTAATTAGACTAGAGAGGCACCAAGGTGATCAGAGAGAGCTTCATCCTATTTCGATTTTTTTATCCTTTAAGATGATTTATTCCTTCAGGGTTTCGAAAATTGAAAAAGAAAAAAAAACTGTCTCCTAAATTACAGGGAGCAGGGTGTTGAAAATATCAAGCGAGCCTTTATTTGTTGAGCTTTGAGTGAGCTTCATCCTAAGAATTCTGGTACATCGTGATACAAAGCTTTTTCTCTGGATAACCACAAGTTTTGTGTAGCCTGGACACGTGATCTTACAACTGCCACCGCACTAGTATGGTGTAATGGCGTGGCCTTATTCAGCTTCCTTCTAATAATAAACTTTGGAGCACAGAGGTCATATGGAGCTATATTCAATTCCAAAGACAATGGTGCCTATATTTTATGCTACTCAAAGTAAATGAAACTCAGCATGCTCAACCTCTCATCCTAGAAGAGGATTTAATAAAACTTCCTTCATAAAAATCTTTCTGGTCATATATCTAAGATCAGAATTAGATCTTAGATATATGACCAGAAAGATGAATTAGAATCATCCTCCTGCTGGGGCCCCCACTCACCAATTATATGTAATCTTACTCTGACCTAGACTTCTTTGCCCCAGAAAAAAATCTCTCAGATACAAAAAAGTGGCTCTTTTCCCTGGCATGTCCAAATCCTACCCAGCTTTTTCATGAAATGCTTTCTCACTTGGTTAAACCCTTATTTCCAAGCACCACCTTCCTTGCCACAACTGAATTTCATGCCTGGATGCGTCTCTGTGAAGTCCCTACCCAGAAAGTATATTCCCAAGGGCCCAGTGACAAGTTAGTTGTGTATATACTGCCCAGATAACTACTCTATTAATATAGCTGATAAACCTCCCTCTGCTCATTGGCCACAATGACTCAGCTTTTCTGAGTCACTGCCCAGCCTTAGAGCACCATGTGACAACCACAAATATACAGCCTTGGTAGAAGGGGATGCTTTGCCCAGAGCCCCACATGTCCAAAGCATTATAACTAAGCTACACTGGCTATCCCATTAATCATGCAAACTCCACAGGAATAGGATTAAAATACCATCTGGGTAGACTTGATTAGACAGCCAGTACAGAGCAGGCCACCACCACAAACACAAGGTTAGAAGCAGAAGGATGGGGAGAGAGCCTCAAGCCATCGAGAAAACTCCCAAGGTGCAAAAGAAAGAAACAGCACCAGTACAGAGAAGCATATGATTTCCCTTTAATTACCTTCAGATTTAGGACTAGGAGTAGATGCAGGAAACTGGTAGGTAGGAGTGTAAGGATTGTCCTCTGTAGCAGAGAAAAGCAGTGGATTTTGAAAGTATCCACCAGAAAACAGAGGAAGTGACAAGCCCCCAGTTGACTTTTGAATGACTGATTACCTATTTTAGTGTTATTAAAGCACCCGGGCATCACACTTCAGTATATATTAATGAATTAGAAAAGACTAGTCATTTTAATATAATACATCATGCAAATGAGTGAAATAAAATGTTTACCAATCAAAAGCAGCTTAAAAAAAACTCAACAACTAAAAGCCAATCTTATGCCTCTATTGGAACTAAAAGAATTAAATTAAAGCTAGGACAACAGATAGACTGTCTAAGTTTATGGTACCTTCAGAACTTGGCTGGATTTCAGGAAGTTCAGGGAATTTGTACGTAGGGAAATAAGGGTTTTCTTCAGGAGTGTCTGGACAGAGGAGCAGGTTTGGGAGAGAGCACAGAGGAAGATACAAATGGAGAGAATAAATGAACGGGAACCCATACACAATTCAGACTCCTTGAATTCTGGGACATACTAAGCTTCATGGATGGTATGAAAGAAGTTCAAAGTGCTCTTTAAAAATCCAGTCCTTTTGCCTGAATTACTGAGACACATCTAAAGAAACAATATCATTTTGTGCACCAAGAATCACACACTATATAAGGAAGAGGCACTCAGCACAAAGGTTTTATCTTTTGAGGTTTTCACCTTTTATTCTAAAAACAAATTATGCAAACTAATAAGGTGATAAAAACACTATTATAAAATGATTTATTTGAAGTCAAATCTTGTGCAAAGAGGCACTTGATTTACAGTAAACAAGTGGATTCTTAATTTTTCAAAGACCTTTGCCCACCAGTAGGGTGGGGCATTTTATTCAGAAGCTCTCATTTAAGTTGGGTTTACAGCTATAACATGGGAGAGGCCCAGCGCTGCCTGAGGGGTAGAACTATGTTATTTCCCAAGATCGCACACGTGCTACAGCACTTGGGCTGCCAACACTGGGCCTACGGGTGAGAAAGGCACAGACTAATGAAAAAAATGGATGTCAACTTTAAGAAGGGACCAGTGGATTCGACCTGTCTGATCAGAGACCCCACATTTAGCCCATCACCCCTGTACTGAGCTCATCCACTTAATTGCAGTGGTTTTATCCTTGGCTCAGGAAGGGAAGCCCGGGGCATCTCAATTTAGAGACACAGTTTTCAGAGGGGCACAGCCAGGTTCATTTTGAACACGGCAGGAGCTCATTAACAGTGATGCTGGCTGGCATGCACAGCTAATCGGAGGGATTGTTTATTTGAAGCTTGGGCCAACACTGACCAGAATGCTTTTTTCCTCGCCTTCATGTGTCATCCAGGCCAGGCAGCCAGACTGGATTTGGCCACAAGGAGAGACAGGATGCTGGGCCTGAGGAAGGAGTGGTACCCTTCCCACAGCGCTGCGGCATCCCGCCTAAGAGTCAATGGGCAGCACAGGTGGATGAGAGCTGCAGGGTCAGGACCTGCCCGCACGCACACTGGTCAGGGCATCTCCTGCCATGCTGGGTGACCTGCTGACAGCCCAGCGGATCCTGATTTGAAAGCATTTCTCTTCCAGCTTGAGCAGGCTCTGGCGTGTCAGCGCTTGACTGACTCTCAGGACTCCCTGCCAAGCACTTGTTCCCAGCTGGGCTAGATTAGTTTTCATATTAATGCATCTTTCAGGTGCACCAGGCATATATCTCACCAGGTGACTTTTGCTCTCCTTCGGTCCCTGCAACATCCCTCAAAGGAAGGGAAGTGGGACAAACATAGAGGCAGAGAATTGGCCTAAAGTCACACACGAGTCCTTAAGGGACTGAATCCGGGTGAGAATGGTTTTCTAGATGCCTGGTTTGGTGTTTTCTTGATGTGCAGTGCCTACAAGGCAGTCAGGGGCTGACAGCGGGGCTATACCTAAAGCTGGAAGCGCGTGGGACTCGGAGATGCCTGCAGCCTCGGCGGGGAGAGTGTGGAACACAGGCAGAGGCTGGGTTCAGCCTGCCGCCACCTGGGAGCGGGGGCTAATGAGCAGCCTTAGAACCCCACCGATGAGGCAAGCACACATGTGCTCCCACCCTCCATCTGGTCCAAATGTGTATGGCTGAGTTCAGGTAGGATCTAATGAGGTCCAGCTGCAAGGTTCTCTGGAGGAGAAATCCAGGCCTTCACCATACAACCAACATATGGGCACCATACAGATTCTACAGATCAGTGGAAATCAGTACCTCGGTTCAGTTTGTGGATCTGTTTGAACATGGTCTTGTACCAGTCTTTGGATCTCTCGGTGTTCTGGAGAAAAACAGAGGTAAAATGCAACATAAAACAGAAGCTTCGTTACATTTCAGAATTTCTATGATGGCAAAATCAAAATGGACAGGACAAGCAATGAAGCCAGAACTCTGGAACTATCCTTTTTGTGATGCCATTAGTGACACATTTCTTTGAAAATGCAACACATTTGATGGGAGAGTCAGAATCAGGGAGCAAACTTTCTCCTAAAGCATGCGGATTCTGAAAAGAGTGGTCACAGATCCACCAGAAATTGTCCCCATTTGTGAATAACTATTTACCACTTCGTGCTGAGAGACCAGCTCTTTGTATTGAGATGACTAAATGGAAGTAAAGCCACCTAACAACCTGAGACAAAGGACACCTGCCCTCACCCATGTTCAGGTCAGCTTGCAAGAGACCAGATTCATCCACACATAAACCACGGAGGCCTCCAGTAACACAGAGTTACGGTCCGAAACACAAAGCTGGCCAGTGTGTGCATTATTATAAGAAAAGAAAATCCAACAAGGAAGGGGACAGAGAGGTGGTCGGATCATGAATTTTTACTCTCACTTTACAGAGGAGAAGGAGGAAATTAGATAAAAACAAACAAACAAACAAAAAACCCAAGTGGACTACACAAAGGTCAGAGAGCTGGGGAAGGACACTAGCAGGATGCTTTAGCTACTTGGCTCTGCAAGTCAGGCTGCTCCATATTCCCAGGAGGCGCCACCCTGATCAAGAAATATCATTCCTCTGGAGCTTGGGTTCTTCCTCCCTGGCATGGGAATGAGATTAGTGTTCTTGAAGAAGGAAGGTGGTTCAAACATTAGTGTAACCAGCCAAGACAGCTGTGCTTACTCTTAGTAACAAACCTCTTTTGACTTCTTTTTTCTTACTTTACAATTATTATTATGGGGAGGGGGGAAAGAGAAGAGGTGGGGTGGGGGTGAGGAGGGTTAGCCACAACTGTTTCTACTGACTTTCTCTAAAGGGACACAAAAAACAGTGCAATTGCTAGATGGAAATCACAAAGAAAATAGATTGCAACCAGTGTTCTAGTAGGTACAAAGAGAAGAATAGAATGTACCCTAATCAGGTTTCCAAAGCCAGATCCCCAGGAATTCCCCAGGGTGGCAGGAGGTCAGCATGGGCTTATGGCGGCAGAAGCCAGGCAAGTGGTGGCAGACCCACTCTGTTCTGTCCCAGAGGCCACAGGAAGCTCAGGCTGAAGACCGTCTCTGGTGCTTCTAGAGGTGCCAACCACCCCGATGACCAGCATCTCCCCACCTCATGAACCCCTCCCTGAAAGTGGAAACAGGGTCCCGGGGCCTGGCACTCCCACCAGGTTCTCTAAGCCCAGGCTAACAATTTCCCAGGTGTGTTCCAGAAACAGTAACAGCAAGAGTTCCGGAAACACCGCCCACAACGTCTGCTGGACAAGCGCGCACGCGCGCGCGCACACACACACACACACACACACAGATCATAGATGCCTCTTACAAGTTCTGCTGCAGAGAGATCTTGCTCCTCCCAGCTTTCTGCCACATCCATTAACTACAGAACCCTTTTCTCTTGAGACCCTCGGGCACCTAACACATCCAAGGCAAAAGAGCCCAGGACCAAGGTATTCTCAGGAGGCTGGGGCAGTTTTGAAAGGTCTCAGACTCCCGCTCTGAGGGGTGAGGAGGGTGGTGGGAACCCTCCTCGAGTCCTTTCACCATGCATAGGTGAGGTCACATGTGCCTGTCACTGGCTCCTCACAACAAAGCCCCAGGAGGACTTCCCATCTGGCATTCATACCCGGAGAGGGATGCCCACTTCATCTGCAGAGACATCGCTTAGGTCCTGAGCACTCTTGGCCACCCGCCGACTGTCATCCTTGGCTTTCTTTTCAGAAGCCCTGCCAGGGGAGGTAGGCTTTTCTTGGGCGGGTGCAGAGTTCTGATTTCCCACTCGTCTTTCGGGGACAGGATCTGGAAAGGAAGACAACAACATTAGCTGAGGTTCTTCAGGCAGCCAGAAAAAAAAAAACCTAAATAATCCAGCTTGGGGAAAGAATTTAAAGCTCTCAATTTGGAACATGCTTTGCTTAGACAAGGGTCAGCACTGTGTGGCCTCACTGCCTATTTTATTTTTGTTTGTTTTTGTTGTTGTTGTTGTTGTTTTAAAGAAGCTTGACTGGGACTACAACAATAGTACAAGTAGGGCACTTACCTGTCCAGTGAATATCAGAGCTGGATTCAGGAATACAGGTGAGGGGGTTAATAGACACACAGACATGGTCTACAGACTGTAAAATTACTAAACAAAACTTGTTCTTCCAAGACAGGCCACTCATTACAGAAAAACATTGTCAGGTGCAATGGATTCACATGCCCTGTGGAAATGAGGGGCACCCACTCATGGTCCAGCTTTCCAGAAACTTTGTCTTACTAGGTGGCAAAACAAAGACAGCCATCAAGGAGAACTGCCAAATGCCAGCTCAGGAGAGGCATTTAGGTCAGGGCCAACCTCTCAGAGAAGGAGTAAGCTGGATAAATAGGAAGTGATGAGAGCTTCTGGCAGGCCACAGAGCAATGAGCAAAAAGCAGGGAGCCTCCAAACTTCTCATATGCCCAGCATTGTGCTAAACCCTTCAGACACATGACCTCAGTCTAGCTTCCCAACACTGCTATGGGGAAGAGACTGTTAACTGTTTCTCAACTCTTTTTTAAAAAATGGAGCGATAGCACAGCAGTAGGGCATTTGCCTTACAAGCAGCCGGCCTGGCCGACCTGAGTTCGATTCTTCCACCCCTCTCGGAGAGCCCGGCAAGCTACCGAGAGTATCTCGCCCAAGCGGCAAAGTCTGGCAAGCTACCCGTGATGTATTCAATATGCCAAACACAGTAGTAACAAGTCTCATGATGGAGATGTTATTGGGCCCGCTCGAGCAAATCAATGAACAATGGGAGGACCATGACCGTGACCAAAGCAAACTGAAAGTCCAGAGAAATCAAAGTGTCCCAAGATCACCATCAGTATGTGGGCAAGCTAGGACTTGGCCAAACATCCACTTAACTCCAGACATTCTCCCTGCCTTGTCTTCTTCCAAATTAACAACACAAGTTTGTGCCTGGAAGCTTGGCATGATCCAAATCCAACATCTGGAAAGAAAACTGGGTTGGGGAAGGGAGGGAGCGATGGTCACTTCACTAAGATATGGTAACTTTGAGAAGCCAGTGAGACATGCTTTTAGATATATCCTGGAGGCCCTGGAAGGGGTAAAATTTTTTGGTCATCCCCACAAAAGTGATGACTGAAACCAAGGAGAGGGGACCGTGTTGAGGAGGGGTGGGAGCAGTTGGGGGGCTGAAGACTGGGGAATGTCAGGGCTAAAAGGCACTACAGAATCCTCCAGTGGATGTGGAAATCAGCAGCATGGCGGAATAATTTGAAAGGGGCAGCCAGGTGTCCGCGGATCCTGGAAAGACAGAATCCCAAGAAGCAGGTGGTCACACGCATGCACACACAGACGCAAGGAAACAGGCAGAGAAGGTGGTGCTGGATGAAACAAAAGAAAAACAGCACAATCACCAGGGACGGACAGGTGGATGGATGGACAGATAAGATAGAAAGAAAGACAAAAAGAAATGCCATACATTAAAGAAGTCAAAGACCAATGCAGGTTAGACTGACTCAGGTTGTATCTCTGGCCTGGAGGCTCCCACATGCCTCACTCTTGAATGCCATCTAAGAAGCGGGGGACAAGTAGAGACAGGGCAAGGGCCCCAGGCAATATTTCTGACATAGTGACACATGGGATGACAATTCCTAGATTTGTTCCAAAGCTGCAAGCATCTTTTTCATCCACAAAAACGAGCCCTGAATTATTGAACTCTAAGGCCTGTGGCCACAGGATCCACTGACTGGGTCGATTTCAATAGATAATGGACTGGACAGCAGTCCCTGAAGGAAAAAAATTTTTTTAAATGGTGAATGCCCATGGTGACATGAAGCCTTTGTCACAAGAGGGCTGTGCTGTCTCCCACCAGGCACAGGACGCTTCCTCACGTAACATCCCCTTCAGGTTTGATCTCAGGTTTCCAAAAGGAAGTTCTTGGCGAGGGCCACCCAGTGGCTACTGCTGCCACCAACCTCAGCAGGGCCTCTGGGCTGCAGGAAGTGGAGGTACCCTTCTTCTTTGCACCCAGACTCTGAGACTGTGGAGAAGACACTGGCCTTGAGGGTGCAGGGGTGGCCCCTCGACACTCACTGCCAACCCCTGATCCTGGTCCATCCCTCTACCCAGGCCACACATCATGAGCTTCACAAGGCCCAATTCCACATAGGCTCTGCACCCACATGAATCTGAGTACAAAGCCCACGCGCTCAGTGAAAATCCAGCCAAAGGAGTGTGCCCCTTCCAAGGCCTTCACCGTGGCTGCGAGGGGCAGAGTTGCACATCTGTGTACTGACTTGTTTTCAATCACCTGTGCTCCGTGGGTATCAGTGATCAGGTATAAAATGTTTGAGAACTGCCACACTAACCAACCAGGCCACCTCCAACCCAGCAGCACCTTAAGGGGAGCTTCTGACCAAAAAGGTACTGCTTGTGAAACAAAAACTCCATTTGGTATTTTGTTTTGTTTTGGTGAAGGGGTGGTTGGACAGTTCCTGGCAGTACTGGGGGCTCATGAGACCATGTGGTATCAGGGATCATTACGGGATGGCTGCATGCAAGGCAAGCATCTTCACTGCAGTTCTATTTCCCTGGCCCACAAAAACTAACACTGAATGAGCACTTTATGTTCCACTCCATCAAACACCGTCAGTGAATCTGTCTTCCAAACTGTAAGAGTACACAGCACTCAGTTTATTTTAGAGATGGAGAAGGACAGTGTTCGCATAACACTCTGCAGCCAGCAAAGCCTATTATCACATTGAACATTGACCATACTGTGGAGGCAGGGGCAAGACACGAAATCTCCACTTCCTGTACGAGCACACTTTGACTCAGAGAGGGAAAGCCACATGCTCAGAGATAAACAGCTACAAGGGGGAAGTCACAGGAACCAAACTCTGGGTCTCCTAACTGATTTGCATCTATCCCTCTGCTGCTTTCATTCTCCCTAAGGGCAGTTAGGAGCCAACGAGAGCCCATACCAGTGTTTAGAGCCCTACGGTTTAGTGCTGGGGCTGGTGGTGAGTGGAGTGGGCTACAGTGTGGCAGCTCCTGTAGGGGCAGTGAAGGGCACCTTCAGATACACACAATCTGTCCTGGTCCTGCGGCCAAGTCCCAACAAAGCCAAGAGGCTGTAATCACCCCATGTCCTGCCTGCCACCAGCTCTCAGGAATGAAGTAACAGGAATCAGGCAGCAGCTGCTCAGAAAATGGAAGCTTAGTATTATTATTTTTTTTTACCAGCCAGGTCAAGTTCTTAACCCTGAGGTTCATGACTGTCTGTCAATCCATCCTGTATGTGTTTGCACACGTGTGGTCTCTCCCCAGAGAATAAACTGACTGCTTTTATTAGCAGTCCCAAGTGAGCCCAGGATCCAAACAGGCCCCCACACACCAAAATAAGCTGATCGGGACACACAGGATTGAAGCCCAGCAAACAGACAAGGGGATTGACGGAGGCACCTACTGATCTTGGGTGTGAACACCCTGGGCTCAGCTCCTTGGGAGGAGAATGCATGAGGCATGATTTCTTTCCCATCTGCCAAACACAAAAACTGACCTGGAGTTTCAATCCTACCTTCTGAAACTGTGGAACACGCTAACCCCTGTGGGTCACTGAATGTCAGGGTCATTTTAAAGTAAATTGTTTTATGTCTTATTATCCATATATGTTTGCCTTGTATACTGATTTCATTTTCATTTCATCATTCGTCGATTGTCTCGAGCAGGCCCCAGTAACGTCTCTTTCATCCTAGCCCTGAGATTATATTCAAGGCTATTTAGGAGAATGAGACCCATCATTGTTACTGGTATTTGGCATATTTGGTACGCCACGGGGAGTTTGCCAGACTCTGCCCTGTGGGCAGGCTACATTCGATAGCCTGCAAGTTTGTCCAAAGTAGGAATGAGACAATAAGATGTCATTAAAAAAAAGTTCTGATAAGATGTCGCGCAGCCGCATTTGCGGCCGCGCGGTTCCGGGATCTGGATGTTATAGTCTCTGAGTCTTGGCCGCTGATGGGATTACACAGCGCCAGGGGGCCAGGTGGTGGGTGTGACCCCTGCCTACTGGAATTTGGAGGATCTGGGTGGAAGATGCTCGACTCCAATTCAAGTAGGCTTCATATACCTAGAAACCTGGGGCTGCAAAAGTAGAGAGAGATTATGGGGGATAATGTCTGCTATGGAGGCAGGGGGAGGGTGGGAAAGGGGGGCATATCACTGTATCACTGTCCTCCGGTTGTTCATAGATTTGCTCGAGCGGGCCCAGTAACGTCTCCATTGGAGACTTTGTTGTTACTGTGTTTGGCATATCGGATACATCACGAGTAGCTTGCCAGGCTCTGCCATGTGGGCGAGATACTCTCGGTAGCTTGCCGGGCTCTCCGAGAGGGGCAGAGGAATCGAACTCGGGTCGGCCATATTGGCTGCGTGCAAGGCAAACGCCCTACCGCTGTGCTATCGCTCTATGGGAAGGGGGGAGGGCGTATATCGGGGATATTGGTGGTGGGGAATGTGCACTGGTGGAGGGATGGGTGTTTGATCATTGTGTGATTGTAACCCAAACATGAAAGCTTGTAACTATCTCACGGTGATTCAATAAAATTTAAAAAAAAAAAACAAACCCCCCCCCAAGGCTGAATAAGAATTTCGTGGATGAGGAAGGGTGGCAAGCAGAAAATGTTGAAGACCTGATTTAGTTTTGTTTCATTGGAGGAGGGGGTCGGGGTGGGCAATTTCTGGCAGTACTGGGGACTGCAAGAACTCTGTGATCAGGAGACCATGTGATGCCAGGGATCGTAGCAGGTTGGCTGCAAGCAAGGCAAACATCTTCACCGTTGTATCTCCCCAGTCCACAAAAACTAAGTGAGAACTTTATGTTCCACTCTATCAAACACTGTGAGTGGATCTGTCCTCCAAAGTCTAAGAGGATAGCACTCGGCTTATTTTAGAGATGGAGGAGGAGGAGAAGGAGGAGGAGGATATTCATATAACACTCTGCAGCCAGCAAAGCCTATTATCACACAGAACATTGACCATACTGCAGAGGCAAGAGCAAGACACACAATCCCCCATTTCCAATTTTCAATCTTTTTATACCTGCAGGCCAGCACTGACCTGATTAGATGTCATGGATGTGACTAAAGTTTTAGCCGCTTCAATGAACCACTGCTCTTTTTGTTTGTTTTGGGACCGCACCTAGCTATGCTTAGGGTTTACTCCTGGATCTGCACGCAGGGGTCACTCTTGCTGGGGCTCAGGAGACCATATGGAGTCCTGGGGACTGAACTTAGGTTGGGAGTATGCAAGGCAAACAGCCAACCTACTGTACTACCTCTGCAGTTTAGAACCCCTGCTTTTCAACCTCTCTTCACCTGTGTACCAGCAGTCCATGGATTGGTGGCTGAAAACCTGTGGTTTGGCCCAGTCATCACCTGCCTAAAGCCACACTGCCAATACTTTGCAGAACCAGGACCCAAAGAAGAGTGACAACAGGAAGCCACAGAAAAAGGCTAAACATGCCCATTCCTGGGTTTCCTCAAAATTTCAGCCCCCATTTGTTTTTTCTCACCCTGGCACTGGTCCCAGCCTGCACATTTAATCAGGAAGGGAACCCTAGGCTCTGATGGAATTTGCAGTCACGCCCACCACTGTCAGCTCTGGGTGAGATTCCCTACTCTCTAGAGAGAGCAGCAACATTGGCATCACCAGGCAGCCGGGTGAAAGTGCAACTTCTTTTTTTTTTTTTTACAAAAATAAGTGTTTTTTCAGATATATCTTTGAAATCATCCAGTTAAATTTCATTATTTAATAGCTGATGTGATTTTTAAAAAAAAATTTATTAGTGAGACACCATGAGGTACAGTTGTAGACTTACAAATTTTTGTGCTTGGTTTCAATTATACAATGATCAAATACCCATCCCTCTACCAGTGCCCATTTCCCACCACCGCGATCCCAGTATCCCTAATAAAGGTGTTGGGAGGATCCTCCCAGGACAGGAGAAGCATGCTGAAAGTAGACAAAACATGATTGCCACTCAATGCCTCTTTTGCAAACCACAACACCCAAAAGGAGAGAAAGTGCAACTTCTTGAACCAGAGAGATAGTACCAGGGTCAAGGCTTTTGTCTTGTATGGAGCTGACCCTGGTTTGATTCCTGACAATGCAGAGGGTCCCCCAAGCACCACTGGGAGTGATCTTTGAGTGTGGAGCCAGGCCCCCAAAACCCAACCCTGCTGGATATAGACCAACCCTCCCCCATGCCTCCCCACCCAAAGGCAAATCCTAACCCACACCCATGAAATACCAAACTCCTGCAGGCAGGGGTGTGGCTCAGGAATCTAGATTTGGCAATGTCCTGGAGGTCTGTGATACCTGCTCAAATTCAAGAAGCAGAGATCTCACACCTCCAGGCAGTGGCTCTCCCCTGGGTCCATCCATCCTCTTGAAAAGCATTTACCAGGCACCTGGCTCAATCCCCTCCCCACACACATACCCCAAAATTAAAGAACTGGTCCTCATCTCCCAACCCTTGACTAGACATATTCTAGAAGAAACAACAGAATCATGGCATCTTCAATAAGGCCTGCTTTGAAGACGTCTTCCAAAACAGATCACCTGTTCCTCTGATTCATATTAGCCTGCCTCAGCCCTCCAGGTACTCAGATATATTTGCTGCTCTGACGTACAAGCCAGGCCTGACCCCATCAACCTGGTACATCCTCCTTACAGGCCAAACACAGAGGAGTCCCCAACATGGCAGAGGGGTTCAGAGCTCTCTGCCGATGAAGCAGCTGGTGAGCAGAGATGACTTTATAGGAACAGTGCAAGCAAATAAGAAAAGCAAAATATTTCACACCTACCTGAAAGGTTACTGAGTCGTTTCTGCTGTTCTGTGGCAAAAGGAAAAAAAAAAAAACAAAACACAGAATCAGTGAGAGAAACAAAGATCAAGAAGGCATTGAAACTCAATCATGAACATCTCTGTAATTCACAGCAATTCCATGTTTTTTTTTATTTATTTATTTTGCTTTTTTGGGTTACACCCAGCATTACTCAGGGGTTATTCCTGGCTCTGCACTCAGGAATTATTTCTGGCAGTGCTTGGGGGACCATATGGGATGCCGGAGATCAAACCCAGGTTAGCTACATGCAAGGCAAATGCCCTACCCGCTGTGCTATCGCTCCGGCCCCCAGAAATTCCATTTTTTAAATGTGCATGAAGACAGGGGAAAAGAAAAAAGAAAGAAGGAAGACCTGGCAGAACTCATCAGGACCCCGAAGTCTAGATTCTCTGCTAGGCTGAGATACTTTAACGTATTGTTGTGCAGCTGATTGTAGGGGTTTCACTGTATCATCCTCATCTCATTGTTCATTGATTTACTCAAGCAGGCACCAGTAATGTCTCCATTCGTCCTAGCCCTGAGATTTTAGCAGCCTCTCCTTACTTGTCCTTCCCAACACTGCCATACTGGAGACTCTTTCAGGGTCAGGGGAATGAGACATGTTATTGTTACTGTTGTTGGCCTATCAAATACGCAATGGGTAGATTGCCAGGCTCTGCCATGAATGCAGGGGTATGCCATGGAGTTTTCTTACCTAGGACTCGGAGAAGTGTCACTCCCCTCAGGTCCCTTGCATTTCCCCATGTTCTGAAGGAGACCTTCACCCAACAGCACTGAAAAGTGCCTGGACCTGTGGGACCCCAGCACCAATGTCTTTGGAGAGGCATGTCATTGTAATCAAAGCCTTGGCAGTAAGCATTGCATGAGAGCTTGTCCAGTGCCAGGCATTATCTTAAGAACTTTCACACATGTTCATTAGCCTCTTACTCTGTACAATGCATCCCAAGCTGTTAGGGTAGGACTGGCTGACAGATAAGAGGCAAGAAGGTGCCAAAAACCAGAGCTAGTCTAGAGCCTGGCTTCTCCAAATCCAGGGCTCTCCTGTCCAACTCTAACCCCAGGGTCCCTGCTGCTCCTGAACATCCGAGGCCTCTCAGTTTTCCCAGCATGCTGGGCATTCCCAACATTGTTTTTTTGGCAAGTTCTATGTGTACGTGCGATGGGATGAAGCACAAAAATAAACTTTACCTTCTACAGCTACTAAAGATAAAGCAGCTACATAGATAAAAATAGTTTTGCCAGCCCCTGGGTGCTGTCATCATGCTGCTTGGCCATTCCTCAGCCAGCCTCCAGAGCAGGGTGGGCAAGAAGTAAACAGAGTAGCAGGGAGGCGCAGAGCTGGTGGGGCGGGCCTGTCCACCATGGACAGGCCAGGAGGCTCTGAGAGCAAGCAGAGGCCTAGCAGAGTTTCGGGCTCGGCTCTGCCAGTTCCTGATGGATGACACTGACCAGTCAAGCTCTCTCACCCAGTTTTCTCATCCATTAAATCAAAGTGCTCATGATGGAATAGAGAAGGGATCACTAAGAAAATGGTGGCCGGAGGAATCAGTCCGGATGGGAGATGTGTGCCGAAAGTAGATAATGGACTAAACATGATGACCTCTCAGTGTCTGGACTGCGAACCATAATGCCCAAAAGTAGAAAAAGAGTGTGGGGAATATTGTCTGCCATGGAGGCAGGAGGCGGGTGGGGAAGGGGGATACACTGGGGAGATTGGTGGTAGGGAATGTGCACTGGTGGAGGGATAGATGTTTGATCATTGTGTGATTGTAACCCAAACATGAAAGCTTGTAACTTTCTCACGGTGATTCAAATAAAATTTTAAAAAAATCAAAGTGCTCACTATGACAAACTACTATCCGTCAGCAATAGCCAAGGATGTTCCCTGGTAGGCAACAGCAAATTTCAGACCATCTTGTTCTCACTTCTGAGGTCTGAGACGTCCTTTCCCTCACTGAATGGTAGGTGAGATAGACGAGAGGGAAGATTCAGAGGTGCAATGTAGTAACACTGGGGATTAGCAATCTGCATGTGGTCATGTGCCCATGACAAACTGAGACTGCCCTACATATGCCTCAAAGTTTCAGAACCGCTGCTGGGTTTGTGCCTGCATTGGGGCCCATGGGCTGGTAGGCTCTGAGAACCTGCCAAAACAAACAGAATCTGGTGCTATTCCAGACCTCTCAAATCCAAGCAGGCAAATTACAAAGATTCCCAGGGCCCTGTGCTCAAGACTGAGAAGCCTCAAACTAGGGGACCCAGTCTCTCTTTCAGTCCTGAGAGTTCCCCTATTCAAATGTTCCTCCAAGAATGATTGTATATGATCAGACCTCAGATATGTGGGGCACAAAAGCTCAGGAGAGAGGCCCGAGGGGTCTTCGTGGAGCAGGGTCTCGAGAATCAGGCTGGCAGATGGTCCTTTCCACCTACCCGGGGCTTAGAAGGAAGGGCTGGTGCATTATCCCATGATCCCTGGGACAATCCTAGCAGGAACCTTACTTAGGAAGGCTAAACTAGAATTACAGAAGTGGAGTAAAGTGATCATTCCCTCAGAGACTGCAATCATTAAGAAATGCTTTCACAGGTCCTGTCTATGAACTGAAAAAGATCTGCCAGGTTGGGCAAATTCCAAAATGCAGCCAAAAATACTTGACCTAAACCTGGCTGGCAATTGGTGCACCAAGGTTGTGCCACCAAGGCACTTCCAATTTCCTTAACTCTCAGGCCCCTCCTCCTCCAGATCCTATGGTTTGGCCCTGTGGGAAGCTACCTTTTAATTCCAAAAAAAAGAAAGGTTTTTTTTTTTTTAATCCTTTTCTGAAGTATCAATTCGGGCTGCACAGTTCTGGTTTTTAAATTCAAGTGCAGGATCTGGCCAAAAGAGAAAAGCAAGAACCAAAGGCATTTGGGTAAATAAGAGTTTGTTTGTTCAGGAATGAAACAAAAAAGGGTCCAGGGACAGTTGACACTGCAACTGGCATTTTCCAAAAACCAAGAGTTGCCTTGGGAATAGTCCCATTTTTAGAGATACTGCCTTTCTTTCTGGGAATGAACTTGGTTCTGTTGGGGCGAATCTTTTTTTTTTTTTTTAGAAGATGAGTCATAAGCTCATAGAGAATCAAAATTCACTTTGTCCTCCTGAATTACAGACCCTTTCTGGGCAGAGAAAGCTCCTGTCAGTCTCAGGCATGAGAGGACATGGACTCAGAAAGAGCTCAGTTTGAGGCAGCCACCCGTCTTCAGTGTGTGAAGAACACAGATTCGTGGTGAAAATTAAAATGGGAGCCACATATCATGGGAAAATATAAAAAGACAAAAATAACTAAGATTCGAGTAGGAAGATTTTTAAGTGAGAACATATTTCATTCATCTGCTTTTTAAGTTTGAAGCAGGGAACCAAAAAATTTCCTTTCATATGGAAAACAATTAAAAATAGATTCCAGTTCTCTTTGCCATCCAAGTTAAAGGGGAAAGGGGGGGAGGGTGATGTAATAAGACCCATGCCATCTGCAAGCAGGGAGTGGAGAAGAGGACGATTCTGTAGCCAGCTCTGTGCTCTGAACAAAATAACTCAGCTGCTACTGTATGAAATTCAGACTAATCCTTTTTATACTGAAAAAGCAGCTTGAAAACTTTATAATTCACATGGCAAAGGTCTTTTGTGAAAGGAAAGTCTATTCCTCTGTTGAAATCCGAAAGAGAAATCTTTGAATCATCTTCTGAAATTTGTTATTGTTTTTTTGGAGGCCACACCTGGTGGCATGGGGGCGATTTGAGCTCACTGCAAAGCATGAGCTTCAGCCCTTTGAGCTAGCTCTCTGGCCCGTTTTTGGAATGTTTAAGCTGTTGACGTATATCACTATTACCTGGAAACACTTAAGATGTCCCTTCTAAAAAAGCATGTGATGCAAAGAGCTGCAGAAACCTCGTGTCCTGAGAGAACACCACTGTTGCAAAAATGAGGCCAGGGCACCACTCACAACAAGTCCAGCAGAGAGTTTGTTTCAGAGATGACAATATTTCTTTACGTTGTAAGATCTTCCATCCAACAAAAACATTTCCATTCCAAATATCTCACGTTGGATTTCAAAATTTGCTTTCTAGGGGCTGGGGCAATAGCAGAGCAGGTAGGGCATTTGCTTTGCACACGGCCAACCCGGGTTCGATTCCCAGCATCCCATATGGTCCCCTGAGCACCACCAGGGGTAGTTTCTGAGTGCTGAGTCATGAGCAACCCCTGAGCATCGTTGGGTGTGACCGAAAAAGCAAAATGAAAGTTTCCTTTCTAAATATCTGTGATGTTGCAAAAAGAAATGACATTTAACACTATTTGAAAGAAGGATTACTGTGCCTAGATTTTCCCAGCAGGCTCTCATTAGAATTCTCATGCTAAGGAATTATAGGACTCCAAGTTTTTGCTTACCATGAACACCCACACTGTGGAAGTTCAATACATCAATATCCTTATTCAGACCCCCGACTTTATCCCAACCCAGGGGTCTGTTTGCCTGCTGGCAATGGATGCGATGAGTTCTGGGAGGGAGTACACTGGGACTAAGGGCACTTGAGTAGGATGAGATTTGAGAACATTTCTATGGCACAACAGAATTCCTGCCCAAGAGATCCAGAGTGACCACCTGATCCCAGTAACCCAAGTATGAGTACAGGGGGCTTCGTCCCTACCTCGATTGTGCTGCAAGAGCACAATAGTGGGATTGACAATTGTTGTGGAGGGGTAGGCAGATGATGGCTTGCTGACTGGTGCAAAAGCTTGCGAGTCACTTCCACCATGGGATGAGGAAACTTCATTTAGCAGAGGACTTGAATCCTGAAAAGAAAGCAACATTGAAGCTTAATACAAATGCATGAAATCTAGAATTAATGCTATATCTTTTTAACAGAACAAGTTTCAACTTTACACGGACTTTGATTGTAGAAAGAAATGTAACGAAGGAGATGTTAATTCCACTTAAAAGCTTAATCCGGAAGGCTTATTTTCTTCAATTGGTATTAGTAAGGGGAGAAAGAAGGAAGGAAAATGTTGAAAAGGTCTCAGCAACGCCATTCATTATTTTCACCTGCTAATGATTGTGGATCAATCTGGTTACTGAAAAAGCAAATTCATATCAAAGTAGTACATGCAAAAGTCATGCAATTCCAAATGCAGTCCAAGACTGAGAGCTGGTTTTAATTGGGAAAAATAAGAGTTTAGTACATTTATCTAAAGAAACATGAGACAAGATGAGGCCAAGAAATCACCATGAAAGACTAAGGAGGAATTACCTATGGACTTTTTCAGAATGTTCCTCCCAGCACCACTGACCAAATCTCACACTAGCTTGCTTCTGAGTTCTGGGTATCAGCCTGTCCTATCTCTCTCCCTTCCAATACTGAGTGACACAAAGAGCTTTGAAGTAAAGACTTACAAAATACTGACTTTAAAACTTGAGGCTCATAAAAAAAAAACCACCCAAAACTTTACACTCTATCAAAAGTATTCTTTCAAAATAAAATTACTACTAACACTATAATCTGCATGGTGGAATTAATGCTGGCCTTTTAAAATACATGGAAATCATACTCAGGTATGTGATAAGGACAGTAACTTTCCTCTAAGTCATATAAACAGTCACTGTCACTGTCACTGTCCTCCTGTTGTTCATCAATTTTCTCGAGCGGGCCCAGTAACGTCTCCATTGTGAGACTTTGTTGTTACTGTGTTTGGCATATCGAATATGTCATGGGGAGCTTGCCAGGCTTTGCCATGCAGGCGAGACACTCTCGGTAGCTTGCCGGGTTCTCCGAGAGGGGCGGAAGAATCGAACTCGGGTGGACCATCTTGGCTGCGTGGAAGGCAAATGCCCTACTCGCTGTGCTATCGCTCCAGCCCGGTGTAGACAGTAAAAAAAAAGAAAAATATACATTTCAATATATAATGCCTAACACCAGAATGTCATTTCTGAAATGTCTGAGGAATGGGGCTCTGATGGTTACTCTTCAGACAAAAGTATGGCCCAAGGCAATCAATAGGCTCCATGGAAGATCAGTGGTTCTATTAGATCTATAGGATGATAGATGAGACCTTTCTCCTTTCCCCACCATCACACCCTGCAGGTGCTCAGTAAATACCACATGACTGATAGGAGCTACAACCAGCAAAAGGATTCTGAGCAACACTTGCAACAGGGGAACACATTCCTATTGAAAGAGGTGTATATCAGGACCCTGGAGAGCACCCAACACATAGTAGGGGCTTCTGTACAATGACTCAGCCCAATTCTTCTGAACATGCCTTGAAACTGTAGTTGCTAGTTATGGGTGGCAACTGAGGTGAACGAATGAACTTTTCCCCAAACTTGAGAGGCACAGTATCTATCGATTTTTGGTGGGGGGAGTGCCTCTTTCTCAATTTTTCACTTGTCAAGTGGAAAACAAATCAGACTCGCCCTAACTTGCTTTCAGAGAGCTCTAGTGTACCAAAGAAACAAAGATAAGAAAGCTGCTCCTTAAGGCATGCACCACTAATGTGATAACTGGATGGATCATGTGGTCCTCCAGCAGTTTACAAATTCTACTCTGGGTCTCAAGTCTTATTTCTGGAACGGCACAAAAACAGCTCTTGACAAAAAAGGACCATAGCCAAAGAAAGATGAATTAACATGAATTTTCTTCTTCGCTCTTACTCTCAGATAGTTTTTTAAGGGCTTCTGACCCCCATCTGCTAGGTACTTCCTCAGCGGCATGGCTAACACTGATGAAATATTCCTTCTCTAACCAACTCCAGACCAGAAACGCCGACGTACTCGGACCCTGTACTCCATAGCCCCATGAGTATCTCTGAAGGCTCATTTGAGGAGACATTTGCTGAGGTTCTCTCAAGGCCTGTCAAATCCCAGGGCTCTGAAGGAGACCCTGGCCACGGGCCTGCATTGTCCCACCTACTGTCGGATGCCGGATCTTCACAGGATGGCACCTGAGACATCAGGAACCCCTTTAACTTCCTGTGACTCATAGGTGCTATTTGGCCACAAATGGCCCAGCAACCACTAGAGCACTCCACAAATTATTTGCCACTTTGAAGGACTATTCCTAACCTTTTGTGAAAATCAGGTTTTCAAACCCAATTCCTTAATTAAACTCCCCCCCCCCCCCCCCCCCCCCGCTTCTTTTTAACAGTCTCAGCCTCAGCTGTCTGTCAGTTTGCTAAGTCAATGAAAGGGTGAATCTTCCCTCCCTGGAATCTCCCTGCTCCCTAGTGGAGAAACTGGGAGTCTACACCCCGCGTGGCAGCCCGCCTTCCTCTTCCTCCTGCATCTCCTCTGTTCCAGCTGCCTGACCTGTGGAGATGACCCTGGCCAGGAAACAGACCACGAGGAGGCTTTTCTCGCGCCAGGAGAAAACCAATTTCTTTCAGGAAGGTTTGCATTCCAAAGAGGACAGAGAAGAGTGGGGACACGAGGGACTGATGAGGACCCTCAGGAGCCCCCTCCCAACCCCACCCCCCACCCTCACCACGACCCCTCAGGCTGCCCAGGGCCCCCACCCAGGAGACATGCAATTCAGGGCAAAAGCAGACAGCCTCAGTCAGACACAGCGCAGTGCAGCCAATGCTTCCGAGGGCACTTAGTACTTGGGTGAGAAAGGGTTTCTCTACTCGGGGGAGTCCAGGCAGAAGGGGTCGGGGAACGGCAGCAAGCTTACGGTACTGGAGATGGCTCCCGTGAGGTCAGGCTCCCAGGCTCTGTGGAAGCGCTCGGGGGCCGCAGGGACCAACGGAGGCAGTGGAGAGAAGGATGGCGGAGGTGGACTAACAGTAACTGGGGGGACAGGGCCAGGGGTGCCGGCCCGCGGGTGGTGCTGGGGTCGCCTCTGCAGATGAGGGGGAATGAAATCATCTAGAGTCGGGAAGGTCAGAGGTGAGCTGGCAGGGGTGGTCGCCGGGGCAGGGGGGCTCAGTGGCCCCAGAGATGCTGGAGGTCTGGCGGCAGGGCCTTCTTGCCCTCGGTCAGTACTGACCAGGTAGAGAGGGACAACTATGACCTCGGGCTGGGCTGGGCTGGAGGAAGAGACGTCCTGCAGGAAATAAGGGGTGGTTACGTCAAAGGGGCGGTGGGGGGAGGCAGCATTCCACATGTACAGAGCAGAGAGTGGACATGCAGTGATGTTCGCTGAGAAATATTTAATCGGTGCCCTTTCCGCGGAGGACGTGGGCCCTGGGGGCGAGCCAGCTGGCCTCCGGACACGCTCCGACACAGAGGGAAGCCCATCCAAGTGTTCGTTCCATCCATCTATTTTTGAATTCTCTTAATATTTTACGAGAGAGAAAGAGAAAACGGCAAAATAGGCAGGCAGGCTGTGATCAATCCCCTCCCACCCCCCAAACTGCTCGCAGAGACTGCAAAGCTCGGGAATAAATACACTTTCTCCAGCGCCTTGTTAGGAAACAAACACTCCGTGTGTCTCATTAGTTGTACAGACACCCGCACGGGCAGACTTACACATTTACAGAGAAGAGGGAAGGGTGGCAGAGGGGCCGGTGTAGGGGTGTTTAGAGAGAAGTTGGGGATCAAGCCGGAGCATCGTTAACGGGGTAGGGGGGGTAGGGGGAGGAGGCCGAAGCAGCCCAGAAAACAAAGGCGCTGCTCGCAGGGGTTTGGAGAGAGACGGTGTAGGAGGCACACACACATTCCTAATTCCTTGCCTTGGCTGGAAAACACGGCTGCCAAGGGGAAGTTTCATTTCTCTTCTGGTTCTCGGGCTCAGAGGTAAGCTGGGGGCCTAGCACAGGTGGTCTCGTTGCATCTGGGAAGGCAGGCCCAGTGCCCTGAGGAGGGACCTCGCCGCAGCCCGCAGCATCTCTTGCAGTGCCAGAGCACAGCTCAGGGGGGCCGGGAGGAGGAGCAGAGGGGGACTTTCTTGTGCCGGCTGTGCAGGAGCCAGTGCTGGGAGCCGGTGCTAGAGCGCCTGAAGCTTCCAAGGGTGTGCCTCTGCCTGGGTCACGTGCACCCCCCCAGTTCTCCGAGGCCGCCCGGCAAGTGTTATTAGATAAACAAGGTACATATAAGCTGCTGACCTTTTTATTCCCAGTCGCCTCGTCACATGGGCCAGGGCTCACATTCTCCCTATAAACTGCCCTGGCCGCCACCAAGGGGTGCTGGGCTTGGGATGAAGCACTAGGGTGTGTGGAACCTGGAAGCGAGGGCCCAGGACATGTCCCGGCAGCAGGAGCTGAGCCGGCTGCCAGGGGCCCGGCTAGGGACTGTGGCTGTGAGGCACCGGGCTGGCTAGGGGTGCTGGCTGGGATGTAGGGCTTCGGGGAGCTCCAGTAAAGAGAGTCCTTGTAGGTGCTGTGGATGATGAGGGGCTGCCATGCAAAGCGATCCTCTTTAGGGCGAGGAGGGCTTGAGGGAGAGAGAGTCTAGAGTATGAATTTCAAAGCACAATAACCAAACAGGAAGGGGGGGGAAGAGGAGGAGAAATGGTTGACCATTAGAAGGAGCAACACAACAACGAATCTGAAGAAAAAAACAATTCTTGGCATGGTCTTAAGCAAGCAAATCATTCTCATTTTAGTCTCCTTAGAGTTTTCCTCTGGGGGAAGGCCCAGGACTAGCTTTACTCACCTGGAGAGGGACGCTGGGAGCAGGGTCCAGAAGACAGGCCAGAGCTCAGTCAACTTGACACCAACCCTTGGTGAACCCTTTCTAGCCCCCTGACTAAAGAAGCGTGTCAATGGACTAAGTGCCATGGGGACAAGCCCCAAAGACCTTTGTCTTCTCATACACATCCCTTTCCATAAATTGTTTCCTCTTTAAGCCTTTGCTTTAAAAGCTTCCCGAAACTTTCCAGCGTTCTCGTTCTTCAGCCTTAGGAGAGAAGAGTCTCATTTGTGTTCACAGGAGACAGACATCTTCACTGAATGACTGAGATTTAGCACTCAACTCCATAAGCAGAACACATTAAATCCGACCCCCCCCCCCCCGAAGGAAATGCTAAATATTTTTAACCTATATGTGAGCTTTCTTCAGAGGAAACACTTTGATGGAGCTAATTACTACAAGGAAGACAGGAATGAGATTAAAGGCATGTAAAGGTAAAAGGTAAAGGCCCTCCCGTTGATCGTCGATTTGCTCGAGCGGGCCCAGTAACGTCTCCATTGGAGACTTTGTTGTTACTGTGTCTGGCATATTGAATACTCTCGGAAGCTTGCCGGGCTCTCTGAGAGGGGGAGGAATCGAACTCGGGTCGGCCATGTTGGCCGCGTGCAAGGCAAACGCCCTACCCGCTGTGCTATCACTCCAGCCCTAAAGGCATGTAGTCTCCCATTTTTGACAACCACAGAACAAAGGGACCAGGCAATGAAACACTTAATTTGGCCTACTGGATGGGACTGTGCCTGGTTTCTTAAATTGCAGCCCCTGTCCCATTCAGGTCCTTCAATCTTGAGGCGCAGCTAATCCCGCAGTGAGCGAAGAGGTGGGGGTGACTAGCCTCAGGCTCCTGGCTTAAGCTCTGATTCCAGGTTCAGAGCTAGAAAGCTGCAGCTCACATTTCACTCCCTCTTCACAACCCTAGCTAGGCTCCCCCTTGTGACCTCATGGGGCACAGGATCAGTGAAGGGGCAACTCTCCAGTCTGATCCTCACTGCAGTAAGAGCCATCTGCCAGTCTTTGGCTCAATGGGGAATTAGGCCATACAATAAGGAAAGGTTCTTTTTCCTAGTGCTATGGACGAAATGTCTGTATCCTCAAAATGCCTCTGTCAAATCTCTTGCCCCAAGTGATGACATTTGAAGGTGAAGGCCTTTGGGCAGTCACGAGGATTAGAGGAGGGCATGAGGGTGGGGATCCCCAGGAGAGGATGGGTGCCCTTTCAAGATGAGGAAGTAGAAAACTGAGCTCTCTCTTCCATCAGATGAGAGAAGCTGGCTGTCTTTAAGCAGAAGGAGAGCCCTAACCGAGAGCTGAAAGGCTGGCACCTGGACTTGTACTTCTGCTCCAGAAATGGAGAAACAGGTATTGGTATAGAAGCTGTCTGTTGGTGAGGGTCTTTTAGAGCACTCCTGACTAGGACACACAGATTGTCTTCACTGACCACTACCTTTGAAAACAGAAAGTAGTGGCTACAGTAGAAGAATGTCAAACCCTCTGCCAGACTGCACAGGTGATGAATAGTGAAATTTGGTTTATCTCTGAGAACAGGGTTATGGCCAACAACTGGTGTGGATCTGTGATGGGGTTCCCCTTTCTTACATTTAACTTTGATTTGCGTGTGTGTGTGTGTGTGTGTGGTGTGTGTGTGTGTGTGTGGTTGTGTGTGTGGTGTGTGTGTGTGGTTGTGTGTGTGTGTGTGTGCGTGTGTGTGTGTGGTCTCAAGGGTATAGAAATAAAAAAAATTGTGAGTCTGGATTAAAGCTATCAACACAGAAACAGCAAACAAAAACATCTTTCAGCCTCAGTTTTCAAGTTTCAGATGACCTAAGAGGAGAAAAATTATTTGGGTGCCCTCGATGAACTTAATGCCTCTCCTTTCCCAGGGTGCCCACAATGGTGCCAATAGATCAGGACCCAACCTACCAGCCACAGATATAAAACAGCAGCAGCCTCTCTTCAGCAGTTATCAGGAACAAAGACTTGCAGATGGACTGAGTTTCGGGGGATTAGACTGGAGGCAGGGGCATGTTTATAAAGAAAGATGCTCTCTAGAAAAGCAACATTTGAACTAGCACACACCCAAGGGACTACAGGGCAAGTTTATGGTGGTTGTCAGGGAGCTAAGTAAAAGAATTTTGCATTAGGCTCAGATTTGCTTTTACTTTGAGCTCCCATGTGTGACTGAGAGTCCCACATGTGATTCCTTCTTGTCCAAAGATAGAAATCCATTTCAATGAATTTTTAACTTCATTTGTCTGTGGCCGTATAAGGCGCCAGAGTGGCATTACGTCAGGCACAACCTCCCGGGGGCTCTGACCTGCAGAGCGGATGTTTCCCCAGAGTGTTGACAAAGGACTCAGAGGCGAGAACCTTTCTATACAGGGGTTGCCGTTAGCCCTAAAGGCAGGGAGTAGGTAGGCAGACACTTAATGTAGAAGAAACTAATTTTTGTTTTATTGTGAACAGTAGGAACCCCCGAGGCAGTCTGTATTTCTCCCCAACCGGCCTATAATGAACTTCCACTTATCTTTTGAGATGGTTCAGCACTGGGTCAAAAAGGGGTGGGGTGGAGGGTGTTTGAAGAATCTGAGATGCTCCTTATTTATACAGTTGCAGAAGCTATCAATCAATTCTCACCTCCACTGGACCCACCATGGCTATGCTGGGAGAGACAGAGGGAAGCTTTGGTTCCTATTTACTGAGGGTGAGACCAGAGAAGCAGATTCAGGTCAGTAGACAAAAGGCAGAAGATGGGGCTCCCCTAGGGCCTGTGAGACTCCTGAACATAAAATCAGTCCTTTTGGAGATGCTAGGCCTACAGAGATCTGAGATCTTTCTCCCTCTGAAACCAAGTGAGTCTGACCTACCTCTATTCTAAGCCAGAGCATACTTGGATCTCTAGTAGCAGCTGTAGATTTGAGTCATTTCTGTACTCAGAAAACAAATTCAAAGGTTGTGCCTGATATCAGTGCTCAAGATATCAAAGGCGGGGCCAAAGCAATAGTAAGCAGGCAGGGTGTTTGCCTTGCATGCAGCCGACCTGGGTTCAGTCACCGGCATCCCATATGGTTCCCTGAGCACCGCTAGGAGTGATTCCTGAGTGCAGAGCCAGGAGTAACCCCTGAGCATCACGGGGTGTGACCCAAAAAGTCAAAAAAATAAAAATAAAAAAGATATGAATGGCCAATTTTACCCTGAATCGAAGGAAGAAAACCACTAGAGCAGAAGTTTATTTGGTTCCCTTTAAGGTGCCTGGGGAAAAAGAAAATTCATAAGAAAATATGCTATTTGTAGTATTACTAAAAATAAGGTTGTTTTTCCTTATTATAAGGCTCACTTGTATAAACTTCTTGTGTTTAACACAGTGATGTGAATACCACTAAAGGTCAAACAAGTTTGGGCAAATATCTGTTTCTAAAAGAATTTTTATTCACTTCACATGTTTTTAGAATTCTTTCTTTAGAAGAGCTGTTGTAAGCCAAAAGGAATTACAAAGCTATCTTTTGGTAATCAGCACTATTTCCTAAGCATCATAGAGTCAGCTGGATCCGCTCCTTGAAATAGCTGAGAAGAAGAGCGTCCGCCATAAGCACAACAATTATTCACCAGGAAAAGTCTGAGAAATAGAAAAACTATGGCAACTCACTGACTGGACACTGACCACCAAGTCCCCATTGTTACTGAGGGTGTTAGGAGGCCAAGTCTATGTGCAACTCCTGGTTCTAACTGATGGTCTTGAGTGCTCATGGCAGGCCATGGTGTCAGGTGGAAAGGCTTAGTGGTTTCACTTCAGGCGTCAGTGCAATTTTATGTCCTCAGGAGCAGAAATCAGAGGGTCATTGGGGGGAAAGAACAGAGATAAGAAAGAAGCCAAATTCCTGGCTCCTCCTGAGTTCTGTGGGTACCTTCTGAGAAGGCAGACACAGGGAAGGGGACCACAAAAAGATGACTTTCTGCAGAAATTTGAAATGACACACCAGCCTTACTTAAGAGAAAGGAACAACCCTGCTTCATGGTCATGATTCCTTTATAATCACCCTCCTCATGGGTGGAAAAAGAATCTGACACACTGGTGGGAGGAATATAAATTGATGCGGCCCCTATGGACACAATATTGAAAAAACAAAGAGGGATGGGAAATAATACCAGAATTAGGGTACATGTCTAACATGTGCCTTACCCAGGTTCAATCCCCAGTACCATATGGTCCCCTGAGCATCACTGGGTCAGTCCTGGAATCCCTGAACACCATCAGGTGGCATTGGAAGCCTCTCAAGCACGGCTAAGGTAGCAGCCTGGCACACTCAGGCCCTCATGTTGGTCCCAAAACCTGGTTTCTCAAGAATTGTGGATGAGGCTCCCGAGTGTCTGGAGCACCACTTGGAAACCCTCTCTCTTCCAAAGAACAGACAGAGGATTAGAGGACAGTAGAGAGTCAAAGCATGGGCCTTGCATATGGCCAACCCTGGTTAAATTATCAGCACTACCTGGTTCCCAAGTAGCACCCTGGGTGGTCCAGGTAACACCCAGAAGCACAGCAGTGCCACATCCACAGGCTAGGAATCATCAGGAGGGATGCCCAGGCCTCCTGAGCACTTCGGGAAGGCTCAAATACAATAAAGTAAAATTAAAATAAAACAGGAAATTCCATACCCTGTTTTGGATGGGTATGATACCTAAGCATATATTCAAAGAACTTAAAAAAAAAAGAATTCAAAAGGAGATTTTCACCTTACTGTTTAGAGCAGCACTATTCATAGTAGCCAAAATGTGAAACGTGAAATAAACTAACTGCTCATCAACATATGAGGCTGAAAAAAGAATAGGTGACATAAATTTATATGTCTGTGCATATTTATACATATATATACATGAAATACTACTCTGCCCCTTAAAATCATGAAATAGGAAATAGTGCTTTGGGGACAAAATAGGGCTCCTGAAAAACAAGTAATGAAGTAAAAGACAACCACTGTGAGGTTTGAATCAGATGAGGAATGTGAATAATGAAAGCAAACAGGGAAGAACCAAAACTAATTCCTAGACTGAATGAATACTATGGTGGTCACTGGGGTGATGGGGGAGGGGGCTGGGAAGAATGAGTCAAGGAGACTTTCTGGTGGTAGAATAGCACTAGGAATTTTGGTAGTAGTTGTGATATTATACACATAAGAAGGTGCAATGCTAAACTCTCAAAATCCGTAATACTGTAAACCAAAAAGAAATTAAAAGAAATTTATCACCTAAGTTAGAATGGGGTCTCTGCCTTTCCTCAAAAGGCAAAGGGGCAGCTGTGGGTAAGGAATAAATATCAGGAAACCACCTGGGGAGAAAACTGAGGTAAAGTTACCAAGTAAAGGACCAGGGAACACTTCTGTAGGGCACTGTGCTGTGACTCCCTTCTGACTCTTACCTTCTGTCCCAGGCTGCTGGACTAGGGTCTGGCCAGAGCATCTGATCTCAACCAGCAGGGGCAGTGCTGCTGGAACCCTTACAGGGACAACCCCAGACAACCAATGGGAGAGACACACTGTTCCCTTGAGCAGGTTACTCTGAAGAGTTTTGAACAAATGTGGGCTGTTCTCTCCCTGACTTATTCAAAACTGAATGGATCCCCTCTTCCAGAGCCTTTCCACATTGCAAACCTAGAAAACGTTGGGCTTTTATTTCCAAACGCTGGTAAAAGCTAAGCTCATCCCAGGTCTCTGTTGCCTTGACCCCAACTTCTGCCCAACTCGGGTCCTTGCAAGAACACCTCATCCAAGCTGGATAAGCAGGAAGTTGCACGTCTACGGTGGCAAGACTAGAAAACAGTACCACTTCCACCAGTCCCCCCTGCCCCCGGACACATGCCTACCTGGGACTTGTCCGAAGACAGGTTGGGATGCACGCTCCTGTAGCCCTTGGCAGCGAGTGAAGACAGCTGGGCATTTCCATTGGCATCGGCATTGGGAGAAAACCTCCACTCATCTGAGAAACAAGAGGGGAAAAAACAGAAACCTTTAATCACAGGGACTCCGTTCTGGTTCTTCTCTAAGCATAGGATCCTTGGTGAGAGGGAAAGAATCCAAGCAAAACCATACCTGACGAGGAATTCTCAGACTCCAGAACTTCTGTGGCGCAAAGAGATACAAAACAAGAGGAAGAGGGGAAAACAGAAATGGTTACATTTGCCGGAAGCGAGCAGGCATTGCAGGGGAAGGCAAAAATCCAGCGCCCCGTGGCCTGACACAAAATGCCCTCAGTCACGATGGCCTCATTACCATAGGAACCCACTCGAAACCATGATGTGCTCACAGGGGCTGACCTTTGAAAACACAAGGCTCACATTCACAGTAATGAAGAAACAACTGTTCCTTGGCATTCTTATTTTACAGACAGAAAGGCAGGAGAACTCTCTGCTGCCCAGTCCCGACTCCAAGTGCTCATTTCCCTCCTTCAATCTGCTGTGGGCTCAGAGGAAACCCTCATTAGCAGGCAGGGGCAATTAGATAAGCACTTTCTCCCTGGCTGTTGGTGCTGGGCTAGGGGGAGTACATGATTTAAACCCAGAACTATCTGCTGCGATAAGGAGTTTTTCCCCTCCCTGACTGTTTTTCCTTCTTTTCGTTAAATCAGCTACACAAACATTTCAAAACCTAAGCACCTTTTCGTCGTTTCCATCCCACCAGAAGGCACTTTTGTCTGCCCTGCCTGCCATCAATGATGCATCTCAGAGACCCCAAGCCTCTCCCAACCTGACCCACCTAGTGCCATGGGATGTAATAGGGCATGGTAATGACAGCTCAGCTGAAGTTAACTGGAGCTCAGTTCAAATCCCAGATTCACTTATGAGCCTGGTGATTCTGGGGAAGTTGTAAGCCTTAGATTCCCCATCTGAAATATGGAGCTAATAATATGCAGACTTCATAGCATTGTAAGAACTAAATGTTGCAGTTGATGAGTAACTTCTGGGAATCTAAAGTACAGCATAGTGATAATAGTTACTAATACTGTATTAGGTACTTGAAAATTCCTGAGAGATCTTAACTATTCTGAGAAGAAATGGTAGTGACCACACAAGCACTGTGGCAGTAATCATTCTGCAATATTTTAATCTATCAAATCAACTTATTAGAAACCTAATATGTATTATATGCCAATTATATCTCAAATTCTGAAAAGACAAAATAATTAAACTACTCATGACTTTAAAAAAGAATCCAATAATATAATTTTATACCAGGAGTCAAAGATATCATGATTAGTAGGACCCTGCCTGGTTGAACACAGTTTAAATATGTGTTTTTCTCATCATCTTCTGCATTATATCTTCCTTCTATTTTCTATCCTCACTCCAGCCCAGGGGTCAGCAAACTTCTTTCTATTAAAGGACCAGACAGGAAATGCTACAAAATGCTTTGTAGACCCTGTGATCGCAGACATAATTATTCAACTCTGCTGAAGTAGCTCAAAAGATTCACAGACAATATGTGAATGAATGAATGTGGCTGGCTGGGTTCCAATCACCCTATTAACTTATGAACAGCAGAATTTAAATTTCATATATATTTTTTTCTGTGAGTTATTCAATGTCCCTTACATTTTACTTCTATTTAAAACTACAAAATTATTCTTAGCCCATAGGTTGTCAAAAAGTCCATGGACAGACTTGGCCTGTGGCCAGTTTCCTTTTTTCCCCAGCCACCTTCTCCTCTCTTACTGGGACATGGAGATAATGGGGCTATTACCATCCCTTTCACAGCCAAAGCCTCTGTTTCAATGCAGTTCTCTTGGGGAGCAAAGATGGGCTTTCCAGATGTCAAGCTGACCACAAACATTTAACACCTTCCTAAGTGCCAGATACTAATAAGCAGTTTTTGCACCTATGTAGTGCTTGATTGATTTACTCTAGTGTGTACAAATTTGTCAGGCAGAAAACCAGTCAGTTTCATGGTTAAGGAAACAGAGGCCAAGTGACTTGCCTAAAGTCACACAGCCAGGTAGTGACAAGGCAGTCAGCCTATGGACAGTGCTCTGTCGACTGCACAAATAACCCCCTACCATCAGGCAAGAAGCATTCCAGAGGGAGATGGGGGCCCAAAGACATTCAACATGAGAGCAAAGACAAGAGAGGGGGAGCATCTGACACGGTTTCATGGGCAGTTCACCTGAATCAGAGGCTCAACTACTTCTTAAACACAAATGGGGGAGGAGGGGTGCGCAGAGTGTGATTCTGCTGCTGGAAGGAGAGAGAATTTGCATTTCTAACATGTTCCCAGGTGATGCTGGGTCTACTAGTCCACAGCCCACACTTGGAGAAACATTCATATCAGGAATACCAAAAAACACCCTTATTCTAAAAACATAACTGCATCCCTTTTTGCTTGTTTTCCCCAAGAATCCACAGACATGTTTGCAGTTGTTCATTCTTTTCAGCAGTTGCCTTGAAGACTCTTCCTTAAAGATAATTCCTATGTATTTGTCTTCTTTTCTTAATCACATAGGTGGAAGTTTATAAGATCTGAATTTTACAGCAGTGAAGTATCTTACAAGTGGTCTTTCTGTTTTGCTTTCTTCTTGTTTGTTGGTGGAGGAGGCACACCCAGCTGTGCACAGGGCTTATGCCTGGCTCTGTACACAGGGATCATTCCTGGAGAGGCTTGGGAGACCATATATGGTGCTGGGGATCAAACCCAGGACAACCAATTGCAAGGCAAGCACCCCACCTGCTCAAGTGACCATTTTTAATAAGCACAGTTGCATCCATCCCAATCCCTGGCCTAGAGACTTCTCTCCATTAATAAGCTCTCAGACAAAGTGACACATAGTGACAATGGTCCTTCCTCCTCCCTTGCATCTGTTCCATCTTTTGAACTTGCTTTTTCTAGTCCATCTTTGTGAGGTCTTTCCATCTAGTTTATTGCATTTACACATATACAAAGTATTAGGGGTATGCATATATGTTTATATATAGACATACATATATGTGTGTGTATATATATATATATATATATATATATATATGCATGCTTGTAAACTCTGTATGGATTTAGGGGCACATAATTTTTGTTACCCTATGTCCTCATCTGGGTTGATTCTATATAGGTGAAATCAACAAAGATATGTCACTTGGAAGAAAAGAAGGTAGAAATGTATCTGTCCTGCCCAACTTTTATTCATCACCAAAGGACTCTCTTTTCGTTCTTCCCTCTCCCCTAGCCACACCTGGTGGCACTCAGGGCTGATTCCTGGCTCTGTGCTCAGGATCACCCTTGGTGAGGTCTGAGGAATCGTATGAGGCACTGTGGGCTGAACCAGGTTGGCCATGTGCAAGCTAAGTGCCCTGTGCCCTGTCTGATGCTCTGGTCCCCAAAGGGCTCTCATTTGGTACCAAGCTGGCAAATTCTCCAAGGGTATCTCCATCACTGAGTACTAGTGGTTCCAAATCCACACCTTGGGCTCCCAAAATGCAAGTGCCTATTAGACACTTCCTCACAAGTCTTACCTTGCCAACACATAAAACTATGGACTCTCCATCTCTTTTTTCTTTCTTTTCTTTTTTTTTTTTCTGCTTTTTGGGTAACACTCGGTGATGCACGGGGGTTACTCCTGGCTCATGCACTTAGGAATTACTCCTGGCAGTGCTCGGGGGACCATATGGGATGCTGGGAATCGAACCTGGGTCCACCGCAAGCGAGGCAAACGCCCTACCTGCTGTACTATCTCTCCAGCACCCTGGACTCTCCATCTTGCTGACTGTACCACATATGAGTAATGATTTATCTGTGAAATGAGGTGATATCAGCCACTTTAGGATGATGAGGCTCAATGGAGGTGTGTGGCATAAATATATGCTAGTAAGATAAGGATCTGGAGCCCTGATACTCCCCTACATTGACTCTATCATGTGTGCAGTAACTTCAAGGACATAATACCTTAGGGATCAACTCACTTTTCCCTTTCCTTTTCATTTCAAACATTTAAACTTATTCCTTCATCCTATCCCAGAAAGGCAACCTCCAGGACCAATGAATCTCCTCCCCTTAAAACTAATGCAGACCTTTTTTCCAACAGTTTCAGCATCCCTCATCTAGTCCTCTGAACCTTGAAGGTTGGTAGCAGCCCAGGGCCATCTGTATTTTTATATACCTAATCATCAATTATTAACTCTCAGTTGAAGCCATCAAAATGCTTCCTTCAGAACTTGTTCTCTCAAAGCTCCTAAGTGGGGAGGAGAGCCTGGGAAAGTTAGAACTTAGTGAGGTTTTGCAGTCCTGAACCCAGACACCGGCTTTTTTATGAGAAAGAAACTATTTTAGCCTTATGTTTAGCTCCATGTGTTCCTTACATACACTTTTTTCTGATCTGTGCTCACAGTCCCTTGACACTTTCTTTCATCTCATTCTGTGCTAATTGAGTTTTGATCGGTTCAAAGGTTGCTTTGTGATTTGGTGCTTCTGGGTATAAACTGCATTGGGTTGAGACTGATATGTTCTGGTGGTTTCCTAGAGTTAGATGAGAGGTGTCAGACATCCAAATAGCAGTGTTCCAAATTATACTTCTATTACTTTTTATCCCAATAGTCTAGTAAAGTATTTATTTCTTTAACTTGACACCACAAGAGGCCTGGCTTTTGGCCTCTGGATTCTGGGGATTCATCTGTAAGCTTCATGTACTGTCATATGAGAAGAGTCTTTGGGCCACATCAATGTGATTTAGAAGTGTGCAGTGAGATCAGTCACCTTGGTTGGGGAGAATTCCTATGAGATGGAGCCCCAGTAAAAACTCTGAGCTGGAGTGAACATCCTGTTTGGAAATACTCTGAGGACACTGCCAGGCCTCAGTGCTGGGAACTAATGAGCCCTGATCCCCACAGGAGAGGAACGAGGAAGCAACAAGATTGGTTTCTCCAGAATCTACCCCATGCGCTCCCTCTCTTGGCTGATTTTGGTTTTGTTTTTGGGCCACACCCAGCAGTGCTTAGGGGACCACAAGTTGTAATAGGGATCAAGTAAGGGTTGGCTGTGTTCAAAGTAAATGCCCCACTCACTGTATTTATTATGCTCCAGCTCTCTCTCAGCAAATTTTAAGCTGCTTTCTCTCCCTGTAATAAACACAACTGTGCGTATAA